GCTCATACATGTAATGATGTGATAAAAACAGCTTTAGAGGTCCACCTTAGCTGTGCTTAATAAAGGACACACAAAATTAAAAACAAAATAGAATCTGATAAGCACCTTCAAGCTTTCCATCGTAATTTTTGTATTCTTTAACATATCTATCAATAATCAGCATACGTGTACCTGTTATTCTGCAGACGCGGTCAAATTTGCCTTCAAGCTCTTTGCATTCTTTTTTAAATAACAAATACCATTATGTGAGCCCTCAGTACATATAAATAGATGGGTTCAGTAAAGACATACCATATCGAGGAAGAACATGCTTTTCAAAATATTCTTTGGCTTCCTCCTTGCTCAAATCTCCAACAACATATGGGGTTGCATGTGGGATATGTAAAACTAAGCAATAAATGTGGATTAGAGAATAATAAACATTTACATTGCTATCAAATATGATTATAAGAAGGACTTACGATTTACGATCCAATTAAAAAAGAATGAATCGGAAGAGGTAAGCACTACATGAAAGCGACCCATTTCTTTTGTATTTACCACCATCCAGTTCAGAATTGATTTAAGAAGAATTTTTCCCTCTTCCGAATGCCCAAGTTGGCTAAACATGTTTGCTTCATTGATGACCAAAATGGGTGGAGGCACCTTGTAACCATCCCAGTGGGTCCAATTCGGGAGAGCATTACCAATACCATCAAGCAACTTACGGACATTGTTAGAAGTAATTGGATCCCCACCAAATGGCTTAATTTTTAACTGGATATCATTCATAATGTAATTGATTTCTCCCCGTTCAAATAACTTTTTAAAGATATCCGTATATTTTTTGAAAAATGGCGCGAATTGCGAAGATATTGAATCGTATATCATCTTTGGTGTGTCAAATTGTCCTCCACGACAGTTGATAAAAATAGGGTTGAAATCGCCTCTACTCGTTACCTCACGGATCAGTGCGGTTTTCCCAGTACTAGGAGGACCTAGAACGACATGAAGCTCCGGTTCGGCACTAAATGCATTTTTAAACTTGACAAGTTCTCGTTTCCGATTGAAAATGATCTTTTCACGAGTAGCTTGTGTTGTATAACGAGCAACACGACCAGTTCTAAGTGTATTTGAGATACAAATACCGCCGGTAGGCAGGCGTTTAGTTAAACCGAAAATGAGCATGGCTGTGTTGCAGTGTAAAGATTTTTAGATATAACCGTGCAACAAATTTGACATGGTGCACCAAATCTATACTCGACAATAAAACAAAATCTTTCAGCTCAACGCAGAAACGTTTTTTTAGAAAATCTGCCGGTAATTATGTTTATTGTGATATGCTTTACAAAGTTACTAGCTGGTTTGTCATAAAAATGTCTCTACGCTGAGTTGAAAGGTTTTAAAGTCGGAGTACTTTTTATAATAATATATGAGTTCTATACTTCTTTACCGCCCATTCAGCCATCCTTCCTTCTAAGCCTTTATCATATGCATCCATATACCTCCATGACTTTCTTGCAAATTTTCGGATTGTTGTAATGGGAATACTATTCAATACTTCTGGGATTACTCTTACCAAATCATCGTATTTATAACTACATCTTTAAATTCTCCATTCTCCGAATTTTGCACTTGACCATCATCATTATTTCTTGTTGTTGCTCTTGAAGTTTAGAAAAACAACCATCTGTATTTTGCTACTTGTAGTCGACGTTTATTAAGACGAAGCATTTTATGGATGATTATAAAACTTATCAGTTAGTGTACTATCAATATCAATGCGATTAATGGTATAACTAACGATTTGTGTTATATCACATGATATTAAATTGTCGGATTTTATTGGGCGGTTTTTCCGTCACACTGCATCTAGCACCATGTTTAACAGGGTCTCACATGATTACAAAATTTATATCTAAGCCACCTTATATGATAGTTGGTTTCACGTGACAATTTGTAAGACGTACACATGATTAATTGTCCACTCTTGTTAGTGAAGCATTTCCTGTGATATGGTTTATATATTGAAAATATTTAGCTTACATTTAAAAGCTGTTAGATGAGCAATGAGAATTATATTTAACTATTCTCTTGGACGAATTTGAGAAAGTAAAAGAGGAAACAGTAATGTTCGTTTATCATTAAAAGAATAATTGAATTTAACTTCACCGATTAGTAGGGAGAAAAGATCGCATACTCGATAAATAGGTCATGCATGATATGCATTAACAATATACTTGATTGTCGCCTACCAAGTTACACAACGTCAATATAGCGATATCTAATTGCCAATTTAAATATGGCCCGCAATAAAAAAGGAAATACTAATAGTCAGTGGTGAGTTGACGAAAACGCTTGTGTTTAACATAATAATGAAATGCAATGTTTCTAAAGTTTGCAAGAGTAAGGTCGCAGGAAAAGGTATTCTGTAATTTACTTTTATCAATGGCAATTCTTGCGCTATTTCAGGTTGACGACTTAACAACATGATGGCGTCTAATTGGGACACAGTGAATAACTCCCATTTACCAATAAAACAAACAACCCGAAGAAGTAACTATATTCTCTACGTCATTCAAACAATATTCGAAACCAGCAGAACAAACGGATTGTTTTATATTGAAATTGATAACAAGCCACAATGTTTATGGTACAAGGAAAAATAAACAAACTCTACATAATTGAATTGCAAACACTCCAAGTTGCTTCATTATTTATTAGTATTATTACATTAAGTATAATTTTGGTGCGAGCCAGCGCCCCTACGTCTAATTAAGTATGGTAGCAAGGCCCATCTGTTTCTTTATTCGACGAGCGGACTTGCGCTGATAGTTGTAATAGTAATTTCTTACTTGTAACGCCGTTCGTCCTTCCATTTCGTCGGCGATGAGTTTCCATCTTGATCTTGCGGAATTATGTAGGTGAAAAAGTTTCCAGAAGGTTTTCTCTTCTTCTGGTGTGAATTCTCCTAGTTTAACTATGGAAGATATTGGAGTTTACACATAAGTAAACGGATAAAATTACAGGCATGATATCGTATCGTTATACTTACTACCATCGGCCAAATGGTTGGTATATCTAGTAAAGATTACACAAAACCATGAATATGGAGAAGCTACATTGGACTCTTTTCTTGTAAGGGCTCACGATAATTACTTACCGTTCTCTTAGCTGTTTGGCGTTGCGTGAATTTCTCATAACTGCAGCTATTTTCTTGTAGTCGTGTTTATATTTCTTCACCAATTCAATAATGCGTTCATCTTCCTAATGTGAACAGAAAATTATCCATCAGGACGCCGAGTAAACTTGGACAAAATCATTTGCTAGAATTGTTATGCGCACTTCTTTACTGAAGGAAGTCATGTTGAAAGAGCGTCTAGGCGTTCTTCGTCGATTGCAGGGGATTTTTATATCTCGACTGTGTCGATCCAAATACGAGAGGGAGCGGAGTTATTTTACTTAAATAGGTCAATGTGTATTGTTTATATGCCACGTATTCCGGGGGGAGGGGGGTGGTGGCAGCGCTTTCAGCAACTACCAAAAAATGAACGCTAATCTTGATATTTATAAAGCAGTTTCCTGTAACGTCTTTTCTGTTAATACTTTAATCAATATTAATATTAACAGCAATGCTCTTTTTCTTATCATTATCATCATCGATACGGGCATCATGCAACAAATATTCCTATTTCAAAGATGGGGGTCATTTAGGATGCGTTTGTTTTCCACTCTTTGTAAAATACCTTATTAATACACGCTCACAATGATATCATATGACCCCCCGATTTGTATGCCATGTGGGCTTAAAATAGCGAAAACCCCTGTTTCGTCATGTAGGTATCTGACGAATAGAGTAAAGTTTTTCTATCGTAATCTGTATGCTTTTTTGCTCTAGATAAGAGAATATCGAATAATTCCACGTGATCATGGGTATCCATCAAGTAAAAGGTTTGGCTATAGTATATAGTAATAGCACAATAGTACAATACCATTAACTATGCAATTTGTTTGTAAACAGTACTCTCGATTCTTCATAAACTTTAAGTTTACTGCAAAATGATTTGATGGGGGATATTAAAGTTCTATTAAAAGATTTTTATTTATGATGCGATGTAAACTGATAGCTATTAATGCAGCCAAGTCATAATCTTCTACCTCCCCGCTTACCAAAAAGTTTGGTTTTTTTTCAGTACGACGACTCCCTGCGTATTTGCGCCCAATTCAGACTAACTAATTCAAGTAATGACCTTCATCGTGCATACTTAATATTCTTATGCAACCCCTCCTTCCATTATTCATTAGAGGAAAAACTTTTGTGTGTCTTCCTATTAACCGGCTAAGTTACTTGGCCATTCCACATGGCCGCACGGATCGAGTCTGTTGTATGCTCACACGGACCCATCGTATTTTGTTCAAGGACAGGTCTAAAACTTGCGGATAAATAAAATTTCAAGAAACAATATTAATATATCGCTTACGTTATATGCGTATGCAATATGCATGAGGCTGGTGTGGCTGAATATCAGTGTATCGGGTAACTTCATTTTGTAGAAACTATCAGAATTCTTTGTAGTCCAACATCATCAGATATCATATCAAGCATTGCAAGTTTTCGGTCAGCAAGCCCCGCAACATCTCTTCCTCTCCTTACAGCCGTCTTAAACTTTCGCAAATCTTTCGATTCTCCCTTCTACTTCTACGCATCCCCCTAGCCATCAATGTGTAACATTCAAAAATCTATATTGAGCCTTCTTTGCTTGATGACAAATAATGTGCGATATTCTAATAGGCTATATCCTGCAAAATTGAGGCATTCATGACTTGCAATTGTGCTTCAACTGTTGTGTCCATGATGCAGACGTTCAGGTCAAAATTGCAAATATTTGGAATAAAATGTACAAAAGTATACGTTGTTTCATTGCCCAATGACAATTGCAACAATTACATTTTGCTAACGAGAATTTTGCCTGCAAATATTTCCATAATGACTGTTCAAATAAAAACGCTACTGCTCTAGTACTAGGTTATCTGTCAACTCTGATTATGGTTCTTGATTGCAAAATGCATTATCTCTAAACTCAATGTAGATAACAGTGCATCACATTGATTGTTTCTACTCATAGTTTTATTGAAGCTGTCTGACAGTTGGCTATATGAAAATCATTAGAGCCTTGACCGCGTTAATCATTATGATCGAGACTTTTCTCGCCCATGTCAGAGCTCAACTAGCTGGATACGGTGGCTCGATCAACGCATAAAGACAAATTATCCTGCAAAGTCGACAGCAGTAGTAACACCAATAATCGCCTGTATGTGCAACCGTTGGCATTTTTTGTAGATGTGACCTCCAAAATCGCCAGTAGATAAAACCTCTCTTCAATAGACGCTGACTCCTTCGGACTTGCCAAAAATGTGCGCAAAAGTTGTAGAAATTTGAGTATTTTGTAGAGTATTTTGTCACGTTCTCACCCAGTCAAAAAACTTTATATGCAAAATTTCAGAGATTTCATGGTTGTGCTAAATGCAACACTAAGCAGTGTTCAATTATTGAGCGCCTCTTACTCTTAAAGTGGTTTGACTTTAATATGTTATGCTAAATACTTCCATGATACTTTAATTCTTCTATAATCTGGCAAGCTAAAAAAATTTAACAGAGTATTGATAGGTGCCCTCGTATATATTAGTATGTCAAATATTTCCAAAACATTAATCATGCTCTCTGAAAATAATTAATTAGAAAAACGTTTAATTTTTATAACAAGCAATTATTCATTCTTATCATTGTTGGAATTGGTTTATGTGGAAGTCATTGAATACGGATAGGTAATAAATAACACGTGAATTTACCAGTCTGGCAAAATAAAGAAAAACAAAGACATACGGCATTTGTAAAGTCGCCTGCATTGTTTACTGGGAAGTTTGCACATCTTTCAAGTTGTCTGAATATTATTGAGACCTTGCTTAAATACCACAGCGGTCCATCTGCAAAGCATTAAGCTGAGATTAGGCACTAATTTTTGACATTAAGCCAACTTCCTGAGTAACACCGACACTATGTTTGAATCCTGCTTTCATAATATGTCACGTTGCTTATAGTAATAATAATAGTTGTCAATCATCTGTCAAAACGTTTGTAAATCGCGCTTGCGCTATCCATTGAGAGAAATATTATGTGGCGCGATTGATATGAAAAATGTTATGTAAGGTTAACTCCAATTTTCTAACAGACAGATAATAATTTATGTTATTTAAGAATAAATATTTATGAAACACATGGTTCGTATAATATGGTTAGATAATTAATGGCCACCCAGCTCGGTTCAAATTCGAAGAACATTATTACTTAAAAGACACCATTAACCATGTCTCTCTATCAGGGTCTTTATATAATAGTTAAGTTGGGATACCTGACTAAGTCATGTCGTTGCAAGACGATCGTCGACATTTCATATCAAATTAGATAAGAGAAGCATGAATAGACCAGGCATCTACCCATATACCGCAGTGGTACCCAGGCAACTCATAATATTTATTAGTCAAGTATGGAGATGACGTACAGTGTGAAAGGCAATTACATATTTGATCATTGACCATAGCAATCAACATTATTAATACCTCTTTAATAGCTAAAATCAGTAGATTGTTGGCAAATTTTTAATATGCTATTCTTTCTCCATTGCTCTCAATAACTAACTAATATCTGTACTTTATCAATTGTACTAATTAATTAACATGTTTTCTGGAATAGCCTCTACCATAGAACGACTTAAATCTTGCTGATCTTGTGGCATTCTTTTTTCGACGTTTCTTTTAACAACATTCTAAAGATTTTCTATTGGGTTTAAATTGTGGAATCACAGTATGATCTATGCTGTCAACCTTTTTAAGTTATTATAGATAGTCCGCATTGGAATCTTTGTGTCTTTGTGAATGAATATCTTTGGCTGAGTGGACTTTTATGTTCCAAAAATGTAATATAGTTTTTCGCTGGTTTTTTAAATCGGACTTGTCACTTTGTTAAATAAGTGACTTCTAAAGACATTGCACCATTTAATAAAAATAAAAAGTAGGTTTTCGTGATCAAAACAAAAACAAGTTTACGTAATTGGTTTATTTTTGGGAAAGTTATGCGAACTTAAGTCTATGCCAATAATTTCTTTACAATTCAAATTCCACAAACTCTATTTTTGATATATATATTTGAAAATAACATGATCGAAATGAATGGTTGGACAATATTCTTAGTAGAGCATTGTGCTTCAGTGGGCTGTTCTCATTAGAATTTAGGAGCAGAAGATCGAGAAGCTTATTTTATAAACACTGTCATTATGCTACTGGCTAAGCGATGGCTGTGTGAGAAAGTATCTCGGCATATACATATATCACTGATTCATTCAAGCATACTATTGTCCTTATTGGTTATGTCAATGACGAATAGAGTTCATTACGGATTACTTCTAAAGCAACATTCGGTATATTATATATGATTCATAATAGATTCCAATTTTTCTGCTCAATGGAAATATATCACTGCATAGTCATGAATTGCAATAAAGCATATTCAGATTTGGGTTGCTAAGATGCCGCTATCATCTAGCACAAGAAGCATAATCACGTACTAATCCGGTAGTTGGCCACTGGTTTTGGTACCTTGTTTAATCGAATAGTTATTATTGACTTGTTATATCTTAACATGGACTAATATAAAATATAAGCGAACACACTAACAGACATATTATAATACTTATATGAACCTCTATGTACTGTTGTCAAACTATCTGAACCAACAGCTGACATCTCCCTTGAAACATAGCGCCTTGTGGATGCTCACATCAATGTATCATCGCAGAATTTACATGTACATTTGATTCTAACGAGTAAATATGGCTTTTAGTTGTACCATTTGTCGATGAGCTGATGACAAGGGCAAAGGTTAGCAATATTTGTCGGTTGTAGTCACATGATTTGTGATTGTCTTTCAACAACGACTGGTAGTCTTTTGGGAAAGTGAGATCGAGGAGGGGGAAGAGCCCGAACAACTGGATGTTCTAGCTATATCCGAGTTAGGTCAGCAATGAAATGTGAACTTTACATGTGTAATAAACAGTCTTACACAAATCTATCCCAAAAAGAAATAATGACACGAATTATACGAAACATCTCACATGCATGCATTGCAGTTGTTTTACGAAAAATTTATTCCTTTGTGGAATTTGTATGGTAAGGTGCGAATTGTGCGAATTGTGCGAATTGTGCGAATTGTGCGAATATTGTGCGAATTGTGCGAATTGTGCGAATTGTGCGAGTGTTGAAATCGAAGCCTTTGCGTTCGAACGAATAACGATTCATATTTGCAAATTATAAATTAGCTTAATTATTGAGGAGGGTGTTATACTATAGTTACAAAATTAGCTTACTGAAAAGAAAAAGAATAAAGAAAAGGGAAGTGTTCGATCAAAAGTCTTTGTCATCGTTCTCGTAATATTGCGCGCTAAAAGATGTTTATCAATTAACGATGTAGTCAATCGACATTTTTTCCGCTTGGTTACGATGGCTATTATGCCAGAAATTTTTTACTTGAAGTGACGTTCTTCCTTCCAACTCCTTTGCTATTGTTGACCACTGGTGACCATATTTCTTGGTCAGTTCAAGTATCTTCCGACGCTCTGCGATCGTAAGAGGTTTCGTATTGACTGTTTAGAAAAGAGAACAAAATTGAATAAGCGTGTGTTTGCAAATTACGATCTGTATGTTGGCTTTATGGGCTATATCGTTGGTATGTACTGTATGTAAATATATACTTACTTCCGGGACATAAATGAAATAAATAACTAATGTGGACATATTTTTGGGAAAAGAAAAAGAGAGGGTAAGAGGTTAGACCCGTTGGCAAGTTTTTATAACTTTATATATTATATAATTTCTAATACGACTGCACTCACCGTTGCCTAATTGACTTTGGTGAACGATGGGGTTTCGATATACAAGAAATCTTCTGCCATTGAGAGCCATGCGTCTCGTAATGTTTCAACAATTCATTATCCTCCTGTGTTTGTATACAAAGAGGAAGAAAAGGCAAGGGTCAACACATATGAACCCCCTTTAAAACATGTCGTATAGATCATATATGTAAAAGCCAAGTACCTGGGATGTCCAACGCATGTCCACTCAACAAATATGGCGTATAAAAGAAGACCGTAGTGATAATAATTCAAAGTAAGGAAGGGAAACAAAATGTCAGTTATTTGAGGCGGAGGTTGTGTGGTGGTTGATGGTAGTGGTGTTTGGTGGGGGTTTGCGGATGGCAGAGTTATTTATATTAGGGTGACTAAGACATGTATTCCGATTTGATATTTGGGTTTGCGCATTGACAGTCAGTTTAGTAATTCCGCGTATTCGGTTTGGATCAATAGAAAACCACCAATGACTAATATAACACCTTTTCCAAATATTCCTGTATTACAAGTAATCCTTAGCTTCCATGTCTGTCAATGTGCATTCATGTCATTTAAAGTAAAATATGTCAACTGTTCAGGAGAACGGATCATTGTTTTCGAAACATGGCTGACGTTGTGAAACAGACATGCTGCCGATAATTGTTCCTCGGCTCCGGACAATGCCACCAGGAAAAAATTATGGCATAAAGATTATATATCTTTTCTTTACCGAAATTAACTGAGACTAACTTTAATAAACCCGGATTAGATAATTAATTGTGCTTAAAAGTACAAGGAATAGGGAAAAAGGATTCCCTCATTATTGTTGATTACGTAGCACCTTTGGACTAAGGGGTAATAAAATGGCGATGGTATCGTGAACGTCAACGGTACTAGGCACGTGCCTGTACTAGTACACACACGCTGTGTGAGACGTAATCTATCTATCAATCTGTTATCTATCTGTGTATCTTACAATGTCTGCATGCACCCCATCTAACTTTGCCTCTCCCCCGCCTTTTCCCCACTCTCCCACGTTTGACAAATATTTTTATTGTCTCGTGACCGATGAAAACCAATTTGTTACTCGAATGATGGGTTTATCAATCGGAGCGCTAAAAAATAACGGACCTACAGTAACATTAATTTACATACATACAAAACAAAAAGAGTGATAAGGTTTGAGAATACAACAAGGCAAAAAGCGCTTATTGATAACTCAATTAAGTAATAGCATTGAAATGCTCCCTTCCCCATATTAAATGTGAACACTAATGCCATTTCCAAAAAGTACTAATCGGGTAAGATATATCTGCATGCTCCTTATATATTTTATTTTTTTTTACTGCCGGGCCACTTCTTTTGAGCAGCCGGGCAATTATGTACAAAAAAAAATAAAAATAAAATAAAATAGCGAGTGTTATGTTAATGGACCGTGTTCTTATAGTCACGTGATGTGACGTAAATGGTGTTTGTTATCTCCAAGGTCAGTCAGAAGACTGTGTGTCGTAAGAGGAGGCAGCATTAAAAAATTAATTACATATGTGTTTTTGTACAATGTGGATGTGACTCGAGTGAAGAATAAGATGAAGAGATTTGTCCCGTTTGTCCGGTTACGGGTTAGGGTTGGGATTAAGGAGATTTTTAATAGCCATTGGATCATATGATTCTTGTTGCCGCTTTGGCCGTACTGGACGCTCGTGGTTTTTATGGACACGCTTCCGCTTCTCGGAATACCAGAAGTTACGGACTTGTCGATCAGTTCTGCGGTTGTTTAGGAGAGAAGCGATGTAGGCCCACTTGTTCCCGTGTACCGACTGATATTCCAAAATGAGCTGCTTTTCCAATTCCCCGAGAGGAGTACGGTTGACTAGTAAAAAGAAGGAAAGCAAACAAATAAATAAATAAACAAACAAACAAGGAGTTGTTAATTTTGCTGCAATAAATTATACGAATTGCTTACTTGTAGGGTTTAAGAGATAGACGTACCTAACAAAAACACATTGGAAAACCAATAATTGGATTAATATATAGCTATTCTGTTTAGAAACCTTTAAATATATCAATTAATACTAACCTATCTCTACAAGCCTTGGGATGAGCGCCAATGGCTTTTCCAATCTCTTTCCAATTGTTCTTCTTCTCACTCGCCATATCGATGAGCATACGCTCTTTCTATGTGTTTTCAGTGGGCAGATGTAATTGAGTAAGACAATAGGCGTTGGCTAACCATTCACAGTTAATTCAACAACAGCTTTCTAACCTTGTTGGTCCATTGACATTCTCCGCTCGCAAATTTGCTCATAATTAAATGCTTATAATGCTAGATGACTTGTGTGTGTAGGGGTCTTTTTATGTCCATGAGATGTATTGTTATGTTTCTTTAAAGTGGTTGTTTATACATTGTATACATGACTCATTGAGATCTTCTAATCGTTCGGCAATAATGGTAGTTTTTGCAGCATTTTGTCCAATCGCATCTCCACGAAAAAAAGCTCAATCGATATACAAAAATCGGCTAGACCGTCGACTATAGACAACCCAATGACGTTCTTGTGGCTTGAATGAATTCACACGTTTGTGTTAATTCAAAAATAAAGTTACTATTGTTTCGAACAATCTAATCGGCGGCTGTCACAAGTTTTTGCGTCTACGAAAGATATTAGTCGCATGTGAAAAAATTGACAAATGTTATTGTTAATAATGTATTAATATCCCTATATTCAGATAATCTAATGTCGTATGACTTATATTTGTATGCACCTGTTCATTTTTTACTCTCATATCATGCGCCCTGATTAAAGAGGGTAATATTCATAGATTCGACAACACGGATTATTGGTTAAGGGTACCATTGGTGAATAAATCGGGCGATGATTATCTTGGGCTCGCGAGTTTTCGCAAGTTTTCTGATACAGTTGGCCCCTTGCGCATACGCCATGTATCAAGAATGTTAATTTTCAAACAATAGGCATGCATCACAAACATAGCCGTCTTATCATTTGTAATCGCGTTCTAGGCATCGGGTGCTTACTAAAAAGGAATGCCAAAAGATATCTGCATCGTTATCCATTGTTAAACGATATCATCTTTTTTTTTTCTGACGGGAACCCTGCGTATCCAGGGTTCGGGTACCGTTAACGGAAACACGTTTGTATTAGCGCATAGTTTTAAATAAGCATATATCCTGTTCAATTATCTCTCTGCTTTTCTCATTGCTTTCCATGCTCGTTATGTTTCTTCATAGTTAGTCTCATCCGGTAAGGTTAAATTTCATTCAATTCGATTACCAGTACCGTTACCGTCACTGTCACTTTTACGAGATACTTTCGCAGGCAGTTGAACACCTTTTCTCTAAATCCGTATTTTGAATCACAAATACCGTTCGCTGACGTTCTTCCGCTTGTTGACAGGAAACAAAGAATGCAGGAAATCGATTGTATGCTTCTGAAGGGAACATAGAAGTAGATGGGATTCTTAACTAGAAGGCAACTCGGACGTCGTTAATGATTCAGCTTCTTCCTTCTCTTGTGCGGCATTTGGAAAGGAACTTTGGATGAAAGCTTGTGTTCTAGTTTTCAATCGAAGGTTGGTATTATATAAAGTTGTTCTGGGAAAGCAAGAGATTGAAATCAATACACAAGGGCAGCATCTGTCATCATTTAGATACGCTGGAAATGACCATGAGTAAATGTCTCTCATCATAACAAATGAATCATAGACAGGCAAGATCTTGTTCCTGATTCACAATAAAAGAACACAAACTTCTTGTTCCTGATTCTCATTTACTCAAATCGGTTTGATTTCGTGGTAGATGTGTAACGACTAATTCAATAATATCGTTTACTAATCAATCAAGTTGACAATAGATCGGCATCTTGGAAAACGAAACAAGTTATTCGGTCAATAGGTGAATAGTCATGGACAAGATCCCCGTCTGAGATGGTTCGAACAATTGCGTCTGTATTAACATCATTTAATTTTTGAACAGCATTCAACGTATCAAGTTTAGACACACTTTGAGGGACGTTCGAATTTGTAAAATCATTGACAAGAATGAAATCGTGCATTGATCATTTATAATGCAATGTCTATGTACGCTCGGAGTAATCGATGCCGATCAAAGAGTGAGTAATTTGAATGACGTTGTGCTTAAAGACGACGAAATGTTACTGACCCTTGTTTGCTGATTGAAAGGTAACGAGATTCATTTAAAGCAACTACTACAAGTAAGAGGCTATTCGTCGCACAAGGTTGGGGGTTTATTCCGTGCAAACTTGATCTATTTTCAGACAACAATAACATGAATCAATATAATACAAAATGCCATATAAAGTGTGGAAATGTGCGAACGGGGGGAGATGTTAGTGCATTGATAAAGATTCTATGATGGCGTTTGTCAGCTGTTATAAACAATGATCGAATATGGAAGTATCTATTGATGTTAATAACGATTGGAGAACAATGGCAATATACCGAGTCAGGAATTGGCCCATTCCACCTGCATGAGATATATTCCTCATCACACACCCCCTCTCCTTCAAGCCTAATTGGTTTGTCACGGGACTTCGAGCTAAGTACATGTACGGTCGAGATGTTTTAATATATAGATTTCGTATGAACAAAAAAGAAAAGCATAGAGCATAGAAATAAGGGAAGCTTATATAAAGGATTTCATAAATTTGTAGGTATTTGCGCCGTAATAATGTTCGAAGAAATGGTTGATATGGATTGGCGCACATAAACTTAAACGAAAGGGTGGGTGATCAAACGAATGAAGTTGTCGGTACTCGAAACGTAACGAAAATTCACGAAAGATGCTACTAGACTCTGCCGCAGATGTAAGATACCGACATCTTTCTTGCAGGGTCACGTCTTTTGGCTATACGAAGGACATTATAATAAAAATTACGGATCTGTAACGAGGTTCTTCCTGGAAGTTTTCCCGCAATCAATGCCCATTTTGGTCCGTGTATCTCGTATAATCTGTAGATTTCTGTTTGTTCCGATAAACTGAGTTTGCTATGGTTTACTGTAAAAGTTAAAAGGTAGAAGGCAGATTTTAGTATACAAAAGTTTTTTCGAAACGCTTGACAAAATACGTTATTCACTTACTGGTATTGTCGAGATGATTTCTGTATCTAAAGTATTTTAATTGGATTAAAAAGACGTTATTTTACATTTACAACTTTTCGTGTCTTCAATAAACAAAATCTGCCAAACTAATTTCGTTAATCTGACCTTTCCCGGCACTGCTTTCCAGTCACATTATTGCCAATAGCTCGCGCAATGTCTCCCCAACGTGGGCCGTTTTTCTCAACAAATTCTTTCAATAGATAATCTTGCTGTAACAAATTATTAATTTTAATACGAGATTAAAGGCGGGCATCCGCTCAGACTGTACTACATTGCTGAATATGGCAATGTTTATAAGAGAGAATATGGAAAACTCTAAATTTATTTATTTATTTTTTTTTCACGTACAAAAGGCGTCCAATATCTTCTCCTAGCCATCTCGTTACAGTGGATGGCAACGAACTAAATCTCGGTTGGGCCTTTTTTTTTTACTCGATATCATAAATGTGTCTGGAAAAGCGCTGTCTGTAAACTCGGGATGAGTTGGGTTGTATATATACACGTATCCATATATACGAGACTCATTCAATATTATGGTTAAATACGTTTATAATAACCTGATTTAGGCTCAAATATGGCTTAGACAGCTTACGCACTGCTGCTAGTAACGCTTTCGTAAAGATTTTCTTTGCCGATGAACAACGACTCGCTTACAAATGCCAATTAGAATTCATCTACATACAGACTCATATGACCTTTAACAGAAATAAAGTTATTTTTCCCCACCTACGATGGGCTGATAAGCGAAGCAAGTTATACGTCTAATTTAGACTTCCGATGCATGCGGATGATTATCAGGAGAGAAAAAGTTTCAGAGGGTAAAAGAATACCCAATAAAGGAACTGAGCGTTGCTGCAAGAAGACTTTATGATTGTTGCCCAGAAGCATCTTTTCCCCCAATTAAAAAAACTTTGAGAAAGCCAAGCCCTCTTGCATATGATCAACTACCAGCTTGGGACGATCGCCAACTTGAAGTGAGAATGAATCGTTTACATTAACTATTATTCATCTATGCATGTGATGGTTCTTGTTCCCACAGAAGAAAACGGTTCGATGCGCCTAACGAATCTTGTATGAATATTCTTAGTCTACTTGACAATTGTCGAGGAATAAAACTTTTCTTGTCGTCTGTCGAGGAGAGGACAACCCCACACTTTAATAAACTTGTTAAGAACCATTGCTTTCCCGTTCAAGCTTTTAAGCAAGGTTCTTTGTCTGGAGAGAAGCAAGTCGCGGGCGTACTTGCAACGGCTACATAATCGCGCAGGGCCATTAATATTAATGGTAAATTTTTTTTCGGTTTGATATCATATGATCATATATTTGTAGATCATTAATCATAGGTTATTTATATACAGTATTTAGTATTAGGGATGGGAAAGACCATTTAATTTGTTCCCTCGACGACAATAGCGCAAAAACGATGACATAATGCGGAACCCCATTTGTAGATCTGATCGGCATTTCGAACCTGCTTTGTGCATGAGAAAAGAATTTTGCTTGGCCACTTGGTCAAATGGTAAAGAAACATTTATTCTTCTCCTTTATCGTTATTTTTTTTCTTTTGACGCTAGTATTAACCCGCTATTTACAATAGTGGGAGAGTGTGGGAGACGCTCATGATAATCTCTTGAATGAGACATGCCTGTACGTATTTTTTTTTTCATGTATGCTGTGCAATCTCGTTCTACTTTTAATGGTTCTCTCTCTATCTGAGTGGATGGATAGGGTAATTTGCTGCGCCGCCATGGATATGTGTCGTACTGACGCTTTTATACCCCACAAGAAACTGTTTGTTTGTAGAATGTCCTAGATAGTTTGTGTGTAGATGTTTGTAGAATGTCCTAGACGTTATGATGACGTACAGTTACTGAATACATGTGCTACATGGGACGCCTAATACATCAAATATCTAATAATAATAATGGTTTGACCCGAACTTGCAAGAACATTCTCGAGCTATAATTCTTATATCCGCAGAGGGTACGTACAAGCTTAAATTGCCAGAATCATCCATTCTTGCGTCTTTGTTGCTAACGAGTCAATATTACGTTTACTTATGATGCCGTGTATCTCTGTTTCTCGCAAAAAAGACTCATGCGTCGAGTATTGGTCTCCTACGGTAAATGGTTCGCATATACTGGTCCACTAGTATGTGTTAGGGTAACTGAAACATTCACTTGTAATAGGAGGATAAAGAGCTTCTGAAGCTGTACGAGATCCATGGTCCGAAATGGATGGATATTGTCAACAAGATGAAGACAACGCGTAATCATAAACAAGTGCGCGAAAGGTAATTATTATGTGTGTTTATTAATACAATCGGTATTTGTGTTTCTCCCGAGTCAGTCGATGTTTTATGGTCCAATTCAATCAATTATTAGATATATAAATCATCTTAGGCCAGGAAGTTAGTTTTCTTCAATCGTAGGCAAATCATTCCATAACTTCATTGATGCTTCGTCAAATGGTGCATTAGTGCAGTAATGGTCATATTATTTAAGTTGATATAACGTGCAGTACTCTAACAGAATTTATGTTCTTTTTTTACTAGTCAACTTTGACCCTCTGACCAAGGTTGAGGGAGAAGCAATTATAAACCTGTACAACGAAATCGGTGGCAAGTGGACCGAAATTGCTGGGAAGCTGGGACGCACCCAATTACAAGTACGCAATTTCTGGTATAATAAGCGTCGAGGCGAACGATCTCGCCGATTGCATAGACGAACCGCGAGCAAACTTTCGCGTATGTCAATTGACTTTTTGTTGAATTGATTTTATGGCTATTCGGAGCAGCATTCGTACCAGATCAAGTCCATTGCTCTGCATGTTGACTTTAAACTGTTACATACGTTAAGATTAAGATATTTATTGTATTTACATGAGTTTTGTTTATGTATGAACATAATAACAAGTAATCAATACTTTATTCTATAGAAATTTTGTTTATAATACTAATACTAAACTTAATAAATTCTACACGCGATAAGTTGTAAGTATTGACATGATTAATGATTGGTTGATTGCAATTAGCTCAAGCTCATGTGATTAAACAATGCCTACGAATGACAAAGTTCTCCTTGCATCGATTTTATCTTCTGAAGTAATCCGTGTATTGAAACAATGCTCAGAATGGTTACATGCGTCCCAAAAGACGACAATGAATCGGAATGCTCGTCGAATTGCAAAGTGATATAGAAGGCGTCTCTGAACAGAGCAGATGCTTTAGAGCCATCGAAGGTGGATGTCTCATTCTCTAGCTCAACCATGAGATCAGGTTTTAATACTTTTAACGAATTTAGTCTCTCTCTCTCTCTCTTCCCTCCCTCCCCCACTCTTCTTTAAGGTCAATGTGATGTCAAGCTAGCCACTCATTTTCCAACAATTATTTCGAAAGTAATTTTTGTCAGTATTAAATTCGGGGATTAGAGCTTTCGTCCTTCACAACTTACTATAATCCGTAAAAAGAGTTTTTCACCGACCACCAAATCAGCACGCTATCGGTATGATAGATCAATTAATTACGGTACAATTTTTTTTTTCATATAAAGATGATGACAAGTCTAATTTCCTGGTCTATTTCAAAATATTTGATTTTACCCTATACAATTTTTTCTGCTATTTGGAAATCTACTTAGGCCGTTGTAGTTGGAAGTGGAACACATTACCCACGCTCATCAAGCTTGATTTCATTCAATGTCTAGAAACGTATCGCTGCACTCCTGGAGGAAGCAGATGCATCTTGGATGTAATAGCAATAATTATAGGACACCTGACTGGGTGGTGTTGGTTGTATTGCATCAACGTGGACTGCACTTCAGATTGGTTCGTTGAAGACAGAAACAGATTGCACAACAATTTTCACGTTATTGTCGACTGCCCAATGTTTATGCATATGCTGTACATACAGATCGATATCTCATAATGGTCCCCGCATATGATTATTGGGAATATCTATTGTAACGTGAGCAATTCGTTCATAATACGAATTCGCAAGAACATCAAGAGGACATGCATCATGGTAATGTTAGGAAAGAAGAAATAATGACTGATTTCAAGTTTTTATTGCTCTCTTCATACATTCTTATTGGATCTTTCCATAATCATTCCCCCACGTAAAATTCGTTCGGCTGTACTGTTTCATGCATCTGCAGATACTGTATATTGGCGGTTACATCCTATCACGAATATGCAACTGCCTAATTAAGGGCAGCCTTAGTCCGAATCTTTGAAATCTATCTGGATATCGCGGTATTTCGTGCTCGCCAATGTAGACTTGGTGATACAGCGATCCCGATGTAGATCAGATGCGACTATGCGTCAGCGATCCACTGCTCTAATACTAGATTCTGGGTAGTCGATATAGTCTATAATGAGGACTGGGAAGTGTGTAATGGGTTCTGTAATGGTGTGGGTGAGTTGACCTCTAACGGCGATGTCATCCCAGAAAATATCGAAGAGGAAGCAGTACTGCCGATACTCCTTTGCAAACAACTTGATAATAAACTCGGAGCAATTAAGAATAATAATAAGGTTTAAAGATTTCAGGGGTTCAAGACTGTTGAACGCCACAGATTTGTCTTACAACCTAATTTTCTTTCTTTGCACTAATTAATCTCGTGATTAAACTAGTAATGCTACTTGTTATTAAGATTGTTTGAGATTTGGTGGGGGTAATCTTGCCGTTATAGCAATTCTTGTTGTTATTGCAATAGTCTACTTTGCAAGGGGTGATGGATAAATAACGCGACTCGCATTCATTGTCATCTTGGAAAAATCGAATAAAACGAACGGTTTCATTGTATCGGCCACGCCTAATTCTTTAAAACAATTAACAATCCAATCCTAAACAATAATCCCATTCATCTCTTGGACCCTAACACTACCTGTCCCATTATAGGCTTTTACATCTCTGTCTTTTCTTATATAAGCCCTGTTAGCTAACCTTTTTTTTTTGACATAAATATTTTTTACCAGGGAAAATTTCCATACTTTGAGCCAAGTACTATCACTAAGGCAATATTAGCACAAATTACCTTTGTTTAATAAAAACATTTTAATTTACTGAATAGAAAGTTCCAGTTATGGCGTATGGAAATTTGTCAAATACCTGAAAGTGCAATGGGCAGGCGCAGAAGACAAGCTCTCAAATATGCATCTAGTATGCAATCATGCAACTTTAATGATACCGGAATGATGAACTGGAAGCAGCATACATCATCACAATCACAGATTGTCATTGTAAACCCTGTCTCGTTGATAGCACAAGAGATACAGTTGGCCGATTACCGTGAATGATTACTTCCGGACAATTTTTAATCTCTACCTTTGACTGAAAGCGCATTAAGCTTGTTGAGTTTATTCGCGTGCATTTTGCTGGTCTTTGTTGACAATGCTCCGCACGAAAGGGAAGGCTAAATTACTGCACATGACAATTATTAATAAAATAGTGTAATCATCATCAGTTTCCAAGTCCCGGGAAGAAGTATTTTATATTTATCGCATAGCCCCAATTTTTACCAGCAGAGAATCACGTTATACACATTGCGCAATAGTATGTTAAATATGATGCGTTTTCGCACCAAGTCGTATTAGGAGCATAGCGTCGCGTATTTACTATATTTACTTTCCAACCTCCTGTTCACAGTTGATTGAATTCTCCATCCGATGTAAATACTATCGAGTATGTTACTATCCTCCATTCGCGAGCAAATTGTTTGTTATACAACATTTGTTAGCCCGCAAACACCTGACATCATGATGTCCTTTGAGAAATCGTCTTTTTCCAGAATTGTAATAGCCTATTTATCTGCTTCCCGATATTTTGGGACCAAAATTTTCCCCGAGAATATTAGTCTATCGTATAGTCCATGTTTGTAGGCTGTCCTTGTTTTGGGTAAGGTGTAAGGTATGGAAATATGGAAGCAAGGTTTCTTAAACCCGTTGCAAGATAATACCATAACTGGGGGGGCGCAATATATACAAAGTGCATATCAAATAGATTAAACACGAACTTTCAAACTTAATTTTCATTGGCCAAAGTCTATAAATGTGTGTTCTATAGAAGATAATTACAAGTTCCACCTCATAACGATAATCCAAAAGTCCATAAAAAAGTTATCTTCTATTTTTACAGTACAGCCCAGCTGCAATATATGATGGGGGCTACACTTTACTTTACAAGGCCCCTCTGCTTTTTTCACCCACGTCAAATTCACCGTATGCTCGGCACTTAGTTCAGCAACTGCGAAATCTCCATTTTGGATGAGCGTGTGTAAGCCGGGGGCTGTAGAGGATGGGTTACACGTCGAAAGCGATTATAACAAAAGTTCTTGACTTGGAGACTCGTCCTGCCAGAGAGATATCTCGCAATAAGAACATATTTAGATCCGTGTATTTTGTGCAATTGGCGAATTTTGTTCTGTTCGTCGAATGTTAGTGGGCTCAAATCAACTATATCAGATAAAACTAGTATTAGACAACACAAAGTATATATTTATTTACAACCGAAAATGCTGTACCTACTTCCAGGACTCAGGTGATGAACATATCTGTTAACAATGAATTAATGTATAAGTAAAAGACAACTATGTAACAATGACATGATTATCAAGACTGTTTTACCGTTCGCGAATGGATCTAGCACTTCTCGTCCTCATTAATGCAGCAATTTGTCGCCATCGAGAACCAAAGACTCGAAACAAATTGATTAATTGAGCATCTTCCTATAGAAGAAAATGACGATAATGAGGCAAAATTAACGGTAAATGTCACTAGCCTTTTTCTCTTTACTATTGCGACTTACAGCCGGCGTAAAATGCGAACTCATCTCCAAGCTTATCAATTGGTGATGATATAGTGTATCTCATTTATAAATGAACGAGCGTTAAAGTCACTGTGATTAGCCCATCACCTTTATCCTGTTGCAAAACCTGATTTCCTCCATTCTTTTGCATGGTGTAAAATAAAGGTTCCCGAGACTATGGTCAGATGATATCATCGACGACAATACGCTAACCAATGAGCGTGGAGTGTTGATGCTATAGTCTTTTTGCGATTGCCTAATCTTGGCGATGATACCAACAGAACGGGTTGATAATGACGACAACAGACTTTCGATGGTGCAGAATAACTGATCAATTTCGGTAATCAAATGAATGAATGTGATATTTCAAAACCGGTTTCCCAAATTAAAAATTTTTTTTTTCCTTCCCAAAGAGGCTTTTCATTGATTCAAGAAGCAGTAATACATTTTCATTTGTGTAAAATACAGTAGTAGTTTCCTATAGTACTTTTTTTTTTCCTTTCTTCTTTTTAAACAATTACAGTACGGAGAACTACCAATAACATTAAAGTTTCCGATACGCAAAGGACGGATAATAGAGTAATTTTTTTCCTTTTTAAATTATCATCCCGTCTACGATACCCACTACTCCCAGGACGAGGAGATTGAACTGGGTATTTATTATAGAGCGATGAGCAAGATGTCTCCTATTTGGGACTCGTAACTAATAAATAAATCACAGATCTAATTGTTCTCATAGTACAGCGCCAAGTATTTGACCATTGCAACAAGGGGAAATCAAAATACAAAATAAAAAATAAAGCAAAACTATAATTGTCACCACTTGTCAATTGCTCTGTCCGACAAGTAACACTCCAAGGAAAGCAAATCCCATCAAGCAACAACGATTGACAGATAATGCGTTCAGTATGTAAAACAGTATCCAAGAAACAGTCGAGAAATCAAAAACCAAAACTCAAATGGAACAAAATTACACAGCAAACAAGAAGAACATACATATTTCGTATCTGAAAAAGAAAAAACTATAAAAAACGAAAAAAGAGAAAGAGAATACATCTGAGAGAACTAGTTCAACAAGTTTCTAATATTCATCAAACTCTTGATTCGCCCACGGGGTTTCTCTTCGCCTCGTACATTCTGAGTCGAACTTGCTCCTGACCGTCCCTCGTAATTAGGTCGCTCATCAACTGCAGCCTGCTGTTCCATAGGAGCATCCTTTTGACGTTTGTTCTTTCTGCAAGCGGTACGGTGGAAGAAGTTTTTTACTTGTAATGCCGTGCGTCGAAAACCATCCCCATTTCGCATACGACGAGCAAATACGGCCCACTGCGGGCCTTCTATTTTATTCCATTTGACCAATGCACGCTCTTCTTCAATCGAAAAACGGTCATGGTTTACTATATAATAGCAGGGAGATGTACAAAACGAGAATAAGTAATCGGATTCGGATGGACATGAAAAGAATACTAGATTAAAAGATTGATGAGAAAACATACTCGAAGGGTCTAAGTGGTTGACGTATCTATAAAGCAGACGTTGAAAATAGATATTCATCGTTAGTGATGGTCGGGTTTTCATCGTACGAGAAACAGAAAAGAATAATATGGAGAAAAAAGGTGTCGACAATAATGACGACGACGACGGCGACGACGATGACGAAAACACTAACCGTTCTCTAACTTGTTTGTGGTCTCGTGCCCCGTTCATAGCTGCAGCGATGCCTTTCCAGTCGCTACCATGTCGTAAATGTAGTTCGAGTACGAGCTTGTCTTCCTGTAATTTGCACATAAAAATTCAGCCAACATGTCGCAAATAGCAATGCCTCTTTTCGCTGTGCTCTGGTAAAAGACTTACAGTTGCTGACCAATGCCCTTTCTTGAGCGATGGCATTTTTAATTATTTCTCGAATAAAGATTTGAAGACAACGCCCTGGTAGCGAAGCAGTCTGAAGTCGAATAGTTAATGGGCCGAGTGATCGATGGTCAACGAGTTGAAAACGAGTAACTGACGAATGGACAACCCTGGTGGAAATTGCTGGTATGAAGTTGAGCGGCAAGTATGTTTCAGATTGACAGTGCTGTTACGCCGCAGTAGGAGACTCGTTTTAATTTGGGTGCTTGAGGGAGGACGAGTGTTACGAGTAAGAAGAGGAGAGAGGAGAGAGTATGTGGGGTTTCGTCTTGTTGGTGAAAAGTTGAAGGTTACAAACGACCAAGGAGAGGAGGTAAGAAAGCGAGGAAGGGGGAATGTGTGTTGTAAATAGGCAATTAATCTATGTGGCAGGAATTTTTTTCCCTCGTTTTAGACTTTATTCCTTTGAAACTTTGGGGGTTTTTTGCCTTTTTTTTTTTTTTTGTTCAATATTCAAAGTTCATAATTCAACTCTAAAGACGACCACGCGAGGTTAATGAGGGAAGAACAAAAAAATTATATTCGTTAATATGGGATGCACACCAAAGAGTGGGTAATAATAATAAAGATAATAATAATGAACTCAGGAGTTGTGCTGATAAGAAAGGTTGGTTATCTTGTAACAAAAACGGGAAATTTGTTGTAGAACAGTGGGGTTTAAATATATAGTCTACAGACCGGGATTAATTCCGAAGTTTGTGTTTCATTCGAAGCGAAACTCGAGGGTTGAAACAAACCCCAGTTTTTAAAAGAGATTTCCCGTACTGTCTATTCGTGGTTAAGTATTGGTGACACATACATATCAGACTTAACAGGGAAAAGCGTTTAAAGAGGAATAGCTCGTAATCATGAACGAAAAAGTAAGAATTGAGATAAAGTTGTACAGAGGAGTTAATGGGATTTTCGTCACACGGACAATAGACAGTGACGCTATTGTTGTTTGTGTGCGTGGTTGTTGTTGTGTTGTGTTGTTGTGTTGTGTTGTTGTTGTTGTGTTGTTGTTGTTGTGTTGTTGTGGTTGTGGTTGTTCATTCGAAATAAAAGGGCAAGATGCGAAAAAGACTGCCAAATTTCACCCAGGGAAATGCGTGCAAGGGAAAATGTTAATAATGCAAACAAACAAGGGAAAAAATTAAATGTTCAGAATGTCGGATACTCAAGAGGCAGAGTGTGTATACACATATACAAACAGATGACCCTTTGTCGGTTAAGAATGCAAGTAACCAAGGCACGACATTCTCTACATTTTTATGCTTTTCCCTCTCACATTTAAAGTTTTAACGTCTTTATTTGTATTTCTATCTGTGTCATTTTGTATATATTAATCATATATGCATATTGTATTTTCATTGTATTCATTGTTATTGTTATGAAAATCCTTGAAATGTCGACTTTTTGGAGGAACAAATTTCATTATTGATGCAAATACAATACTGATGATGTCATCAGACTTGCGAAATTTATTATTTTTATTGTTGAATTTAAGCATACTCGTCTTGGTAAGATTTACCGGCGACTCTCGAGAGTCCAAAGTACAGCAACAGTTATTGTGGCTAGTTAACGTGTTCTTTCTTTTTCTTGAAACGTTCAACCCGTCAACTATCAATAACACAAAATTACTATTACGGAAACAACCGATTTTTGACACACTCCACGTTGACACCAATAACTGACCCAGGAAATACAAGTTTTTGAGTTGCTTATTATTATAATGTTTTAAACCGTCGAAACTTTGTAACGACCCAGCTTTATAACGCTAGACCCTTTTGACGATTTTTATGACGTTATCTACGCACTCTACCAATAAAGCCTTTTTTTTACTAGTCTGAAACCACCATCACAATTCGGGTATGCCCTGGTATTATAAAATTAATTTAATACCATCATAATCGTAATTTACCAGTAAAAATAAAAATAAAAAGATGAAAATACACCAAAATGGTGGTATTGTTTTCGTTGCTGCGGGTGCGCTTTTAAATGCTTTCCTCGTCTTTCCAAATCAGCAGACTTTTTCCTACCTCCGATAGAGTCTTTTTCTCAGAGTTTACTCTCTCTCATGCAGAACTTAATTTGATCACAGACTTGTACCCAAACAAATGTACAGTATTTTGCGAGCATTAAGAATAATATACCCTTTGCCGATCTGTGGATCTGAACGAGGTACATGGACATTTTGGGTTAGTCATTCTGTAAAACGGGCAACTGCATCAATGCTTGCAATAGGGGTCCTCGGTTATCGAATAAATTCTGGTCTCCATGTTCTTTGGCTAATTAGGTATTTCTTGTCGTAATAATTTTGCCCACCCCCCAATCAATCAACCAACCCCAACCAACCAACCAACCAACCAACCAACCAACCAACCCCACCAACCGACCCCCCTTTTACCATTTATCAAAGTTTTCTCCCTTTACATCCTTTGAGCTCCACACAAGCGTTGACGGGTATCGCACAAGTTTGTGATTTGAATGTACGAGGTTGATCACGCGGACTATCTTTGAGGCGTGATGCACGCACGGGAACTTGTAATTCATTTAAAGATAATTGATAAAGTCGCATGATTGGACATGTTGGTTATCCATATAGACTTGACACACAAATTAAACAAGAAGATTCTTACAAAGTTGGCTTTTGACTGCGGCATTCTTTTACATTATCGGACATTACGGACATTACGGTCAATGCCGAACATATTTTGACAAATATGTATTACAACTCTCTCTAAAATCTTATTTTTGGGGCTTATTCGTTTCTAAAAATAAGAATTTTCTTATTTTACCGAATGCAGTCTACGTATATGCAGAGTTTGACATTAAATATCAACGCACGCTCTTTTTGACCATGGTATTTTTAATATACCTGACACCAAAAGCGAAAAATAGATACATTGTCTTGATTAACCTTAATTAAGTGTTCGTACTATAGAAGGTTAGTTATAAATAAATAAATAAATATACCTGTATTTATTTATTCGTTCATTTATTCATTTATCTATTCACTCACTATTATCACCATCTTCTTCTTCTTCTTCGACTTCTTCGTCATCCCCTTCTACCGAATTTATTATCGTCCGCTTATCAGTACACATTCTATACAAATATCATCCATTAATTATGCTATTTATGTACATAAAGTATGCCAAATACATCAAGCCACTTAGGGAGGATGAACGTATCAGTACCACCACAATTGAGTCATTTTTGCTCTTCGTTTATTCTCGCGTCATTTGTCCTACATCTTACGGTTATCGTTTGTTCTTAATATTAACCGCTAGAAACTCGAGTTGAGGCTATTCATGCTTTTCTGATCATACAACAATGCAGAGTATGCCTGGCAATCTCTTCATACATTCACCTCAACAACTCGGCCAACTGTTTAAAGGAAACTTTATCTCGCTATCTCTTGAGTTTCACGTGAGACCCTGAGGGGCAAGCTTTGATTAATATTTCATTTCAATCATTCCAGGTATCAAGCAAGCTTCGCTGGCTTTGTGGCGTGTTCACTGAAACGGTCGGCCTCCATTCAATAGATTCTATATAATCCATTTTTGGACAAGCAACATAAATTCAAACCCAAATCAAACATTTTAAACCATGGCAGAGCCTCATCCTGCACACATGAAAATTCTCTGCAAAGGACAACATTCCTCAATGTGAACATTTGCCTCCCCATGCGCAACACACAAACAAGCTCTATGGCTCGGTTGTACCTTTAAATAAGCATTTATTCAACATCACAACGTGAAATATAAAAAAAAAAGAGAGAGAGAATTGCTAAAGTCTCGGAAGAGAGCTATTCTAATGACATCTAAAAAAAGTCCGTAGTGGCAATCATCCAAATCTTCCTTGGCACGGTTTAGCCTGTATTTTATCCGCGCTCAGACACTCGTTGTGATGTTGCAATTCGATTGGGTAGGAAGCTTTAATAGCCATGATCCCGAATACAGCCCCGAGTGGTCGCCATTAAAAACCCTTTTTTGGGCAAGAAGTGCTACTCCGATTGATTGCTGGATTTTCTGCCCAGACCTTCCATTGGAAGGAGCTGACGATGTAGATGAATCACATGGTTACCCTGTATGAAAGTGTATGCTTTTCGGTTGGGACGTTTCGCCGCTGTGTACCAAGGCATGAACACCCATTATAGAATCTTAATATTTGGAGGTTTTGCAGAAAATACGGGTAGGGTAAAGATCTACTGTTCTCTCAGAATTTGTGCATCCCTCAATGATCGCAAATCCTTCGATCACTATTCGATCACTGTATTAATAAACAAAACTCATGCGGCAGGCAAGTATCCCCTAATATGACCAGTATAATCATCAGCTTGACAGTAAATGACAGAAGTAACTTTATGACCATAGAACAACATTACAAATGTAAATACCTTTGACTTGTTCTTGTATGTGTCGATCGACCATGGAAAGTATGACTATAAATATGAACAAATTGTACGTAAATAGCATATATATATTAATATCTTTGCTCTTATAAAACACTTACCAGCAAGTGCAGGAACTTCAGAACTGTTTACTGCAACAGCATAGCTTCCAATAACGATGCAAAGACCGAGAATAACTTCAGGAACGAATCTTTTCATGTTTGTTATCATTCAGTTGTGAATAAAAGTTTGTGTGTGTGTCATCAAATTATAGGAAAGCTTATTATCCTTCAGTTTTTCAGCAATCCGATTGTATTAGTTTCTTGGATAACAATTTCAACGGCAATGATTTCGAGATTCCGGCGATGTCCTCCCACAGCAAGTTGGCTTGGAGAAACGCACTTGTTGCTTGATTGATAATTGTTTTAGCATCAGCAATAATTAGGCAAAGCGCTTCTTGGTTGTTCAACTTTGTTCCTTGAAAATATACAGTAATGTCAGGATATGGCCGCTTTCTAGATAGACGCAACTCAACGATCCCCCACCAAAAGTGCGTCATAACAGTGAATCCGATTAGTAGATCACTAGCGCCAACCTGCATCCTTGAGAAAAGCTCCTGCTTCTTGTGAGCCCGACAATATCAGTTCTATTGGTTTACATAAAATTATTAAAGAGATTGATTGATACCCTACTTCCTTACAGCAAGCGATGTTCACGTTTATAAGTGGGATGTGTGAATTTGTTACACTACTCAGGACAGGACGACTTTGTTGGGCTGCTGGTTATTGTTTTTGTTCTTTGGATTCTGTGCACTACAATTCTCCGTCAAGAGGTCGAAACAGCCGCGATGTGCCAATTCCAAAACCAGCCGGCAGCCGCAGGCATGATTTGTGCGTGGTCTACAACATAGTCGCCCGGTCAGCACACCAGGAAAAAAAAAAGTCCTCCAAAGCTTTTCTTTTATCAAGTTGTGCACGGCGCACCCGACTTATTTCCGATAAACTCGAGGAATGCACTGCATTGGTTTGAGCACAGTAACAAGCTTATCCCAAAAAGTTAGAGCCTCGGGTAATACTAACCACAGGTAACAGTTGAAGGACATGGCGAAAGATCGATTGTTGGCAAAACGCGACACGGTAAGAATGTGTAAAAGATTTCATTTGTGATGTTGCGGATTACCGTTTTAGTATGCTATTACCTTTTTTGTTAATAACAATTATTAAAGGTGAACGAGTAATAATTAATACTCATCAAACAAAAGCACATCGTGTACCTTTATAATATGGCGCCGAGTTGGCGTTCTATCAGTATTGCCGACATTCTGATCTATTTCACTATTGAATTGTATGTGAGTTTTATTCATGGTACAGTGTCTGTTGGCAGAAAGATTAAGATTCACAAGCCTCTTTGCTGTTAAAATAGTACATGCCGTCTACGTAATCGTACATCCTACAAATATCATTTACGGTTTGTTTCGTAAACTAAATTTTTATTAGAACTTCAATCAAAATGGTTTAAACTGAAATGGGTTGCCGGCAAGCTTTTATGCATAACAATAATGCCGATAGTATTTTATAAGTGAACCGGTGCGCATTATATTGCAGAGCTTATCTTTCTAAATGCTCGGTAATAATGTATTTGAAACACCACTCGCTTTAGGAGGGACATGCTGTCTGTCTTACTTTTCCTATATTATCCACCGCTATAATATAGCGTTAATAGATTAAACACAATCTTGGCTCTCTCCTCATGGGGGTAAGGGTAACCGCTATGGAAAAGAGTCTCGGGGAGTGAAATAGACCATTCCAAAGACGGTAGTGAGCAACAGAAATAATTGTATACAAGTCCTAACTAATTATTAATAAGAGCTAAATCTTAAACCTTATTTCAAGAAGCCATAAATGATTTGACGATTCGTAGTGTTATTTATCTATATGCAATGTCTCTTACTATGCATTTGACTCATAGATCGTCATGTAGAAGCAATGTAATTCGTCAGGCTACCAAACAAAAATGCAGACAGATCTAACCCACAAAGAGAGGAAACGTAGCCAGCAACAGTCGGGAAACTCTTGGTTACGGAAATAGTAAGAAAGAACAATACGTAAATGACTATATGCTATAGGTGTAAAAAATTTTATTGGCAATTAAATATTTGATCGTCGTGTTAACCACCAGTCTCTATTATCTATATCTACTTACTCTACACGCTTATCTATTGCGTTTTGACTGCCAAGATGTCGAGCATACAGTATATGAGAATTTTATATGTCTAAAGCTCTGTCGAACACAAACCCCCCGGATATTCTATTAACGGACCGTGCTCGGGAATTTATAATTTCAAGTTAATTAATTTCTTTCTTACAAGATTATTTGTTCGTTCCTTTTAAGTGGTTATAAATAGGTCGCATCAAAATAAACTACTTTCTAAAAATATAAAGTTCTAATTGTTTTTCAGTTAGATTTCTTATTCAACACGTTTCTTTTAACATTACGATTGGGACTATTTTATTCATAAGCTCATTTTTATTGTAACTGCATATTTGTTTACTCGGTGAATGTCCGAGTCTTTTGAATAACTAAAGTTTTAGTAATTAATCTAGAGACTTTAAGTAATGCACTCCTGGTATTATACTAACCAGTCAATTACTTTTCTTCCATTGCACAAAATGTCAGCGTACGCGGACTGTAATTTGGCGTGCCTTTTAGAATTAGCGTCGGTACACGTTGACAAGTTTGCGCATAATAGATTATTATTTGTGCGCGCTACTATTTTTCTTGAACTTTTCTTTATTAAAAAAATTATTATCCGGCGTACCTCTGATAACAGGAGGGTTGGTATGCTATTTATAACTAATAAACGTATATACGCAATTTGCATTTCCTACATATTTATAGGGTAGCTTTTAGTCAGCTCATGTTTGGACATTATTGTTATTTAATTATAAAAAATAACAAATTGACAAGGATGTCCCCTCCCAGTTTCCCCTCCCAGTTAAACCCACTATTCCAGATTTGTTCGAGACGGCTAAGAAGTTTCACCCGTGAAATCCTAATTGGAATCTTGACCTTTATTTTGCAAATTTCAACATACATATTATAGGTGCCCTTGTAGGCTTCTCTCGTAAGTAGCAGTACAAAAGTAGCATTTTTTTTATGTTATTGTTTTCTATATCAATTTAATATTTTGAATTTGCTATTTTCTGCCTATCAATGCTTTATATAAGAAGAACATGACATAATAATAAAGGCTATAGATGAATTCATCTTTATTAAGAAGTTAAGTTAAAGACACTAATTTCTTAATATGCCACAAAAAAAAATGAGATTTGTGTATTGAATAACTTTTGCAACAAAAATATTTTAAACTTGAAAATGTATAAATATTGATAATAATGATGATGATATAAATTCCCATGCACAAGAAGTCAGTCTCAATTTGTCTTGCTCTTTAAACATTAAAATTTAATTATTCAATACATTTTACAGAGTATAAACCCCAGAATTTCATAAATGCTGCCAATACCTAATGCAACTAAATTCTTACACTTTTCTAAGTATTGTTGAGGATTAGGGAAAGAACTACTGTCGAAAAGGAGTTGAGTTTTTTGTGAATAACTGATTGACATCTTTTTGAGTATACTAAAAGTATAAAGTATTTCGTCACCCTTTCACTATTTCCCAATAAAAAATAATAAAATCAAACCACTCTTTCTTATAAACCATTATTCTGATGTAAAAATTTCAGAATGTCTTGTAGATACAAAGATATAGGTTCGTATAATAACATTTTACAAAGCTAAATTTTAAATTTGCCAAACAAAAGTAAAAGGTATTGATCTTGGATGTCAATCGGTATTTCTTCTTATGTAAAATAAACATTAACCCATGACAAACTCTCTTTGACAGAAAGAATTAACACAAAACCCGGTATTTCTTCTTATGTAAATAAACAAACATCAACCCAAAACAAACAAAACCTACGTACAAGAGCCAAGAGAAACTCTCTTTTGACAAACAAAGATTTGTATGGTACAAAAATAAACATTAAATGCGCCAAGACGAAAGCAATTGATCTTGGTCGTCAACCAAAATAAACACATCGATCCAAGTAATCAAGTACTGTACCTGTGTATCGAGCCAAGATTAAAAGAGTTTTTTGCCATCTTGGAATATACGGTTCAAATCAGTTAATCACTGATATCGTACAAAAAGCGACGAACGAGAACGCGTGGTCGCTACTAATTTCCAAGAGGTTATGCTTTATAAACTTTGCTATGAGTTTCCCATAGCGCATTAATTTTACCATCAAAATGTAAAGCCAAAACAATATTTTCCGCGGTGGTTTTACATTCTTTTTTTTTTTTTTTTTGCAGGAGAAACGTGATGGAAGAGTAACAGAGAGAGATCTTCAACAAGTGGCCAATAATGCGATGGAGTTTGTATAATGTAAATAAATATAGAAATATGCCAAGATAAGTAATTGATCTTGGTATCCTCTTTTTATGTAATGTAAACAAAACAATTATTACCTGTGTACAAAGCCAAGACTAACTATAACCCGTCTAGGGGATGTTTTCTAACTCAATCCCAGGCATCGGTGGAGGATATTCTTTAGCTTGGCCCACGGAATTGTTTCTTCTCCTTTATTTGTCCATGTCAGAGTCTCATCATTCGCTGCTACAGGACGCTAGCAATCATGATGCGCAAAACAAGGCCTGTATAATAGAAGTAAATGCAAGACAAAAATTAATTGATTTAACAGTCAATCGGGTATTTCTTCTTATGCAGACGACCGACCGTAACAATATACAAAGGATAAACTCCGAAGTGATTGACAAACACAAGGCAGAAATGAATAAATACGCCAGGACAAAAAGCAATCGATCATGGTTGTCAATCGGAATTTTTTCATATGTAAAATAAACAAATACCTGCATACAAAGCCCGGATAAACTCTCTTTCGGCGAAAAAAATCAACACAAAGACTCGTGTAAATATTTAACATGCCAAGTCTGGTCTTAATCTTGGCCGTCAATCAGAATTTCTTTATGTAAAATAGAAATACATCGACCCAAAATAATCAAATCCCTGTGTACAAAGACATGGCAAATTCTTTTTGAAGGAAAGCATTAACACAAGGTTTGTATAATACAATAAGTATTAAATGTGCCAAGACGAAAAATAACTGATCTTGGCTGTCAATCGGTATTTCTTCTTATGTAAAATAAACAAACACATAAACCCTAATAATCAAATATTCCTGTGTACCAAGCCAAGAATTAACTTTCTTTTTGCGGAACGAAGGATTCGTCTAAATACAGAAACAAATAAGTGCCAAGACGGAAAATAATTGATCTTGGCTGTCAATCGAAATTTCTTCTTATGTAAACAATTAACTCACCACAAACTAATAACAATGCACAAAAGCCCAGATAAACTCTCTTTTGGCAGAAATAATTGACAGCTTATAATACAAAAAATAAATTTTAAACTACGCCAAGACAAAAAGTAATTTCAAGCGGATATCTCTTACAAGCCAACCAAGTCACCCACAAACAAACAAATATGTCCAAAGATAACCTCGTTTTTTGACATAAAGGTTAGACATATGCGGGGAATATGCAAAAAGAGGTTATAATACGATCGAGGACTTGCATGTACAAGCTTGGCGACAGTTTCTTAGAATCACCAAAACATATACAAAAATGCGCTCTCCCTCTAAAGCATCTTGTTTGTAAAATGTACAAAAGCAAGTATTAGTATATTATACAACACCTTTGTAGACGACATCCCTTATAACGATATCATTTTGTCAAAAAAGATTATTATAATGTCGAACCCCGACCTCGATATTATTGACAACATGGTTATTATACGCAACGATACGCCGCTCAGAAAATTTGTCTGTTTGCATTTTAATATTAAAGAGTAAAATTAATATTCTTTAAAATTCACGATGTGTATAATAATAAGACAAACCCATCGAATATTAAAAATAAATAAATAAAAGGCGGTTTGTAAAACGATATCAATATTAAATTCCGATTTAGTCTCTATTGATACTCACTTTAACAAAGACACTAGTTTCGCGGTTGTTGGCTGTTGGTTGGTTGGTTGTTGTTGTTTTTTTTTTGTTTTGTTTTTTGCCTTGTTAATTTAAAAGCCTGCATATTTTACGTGAGGTAAAATATAATTTTTCTCCAAAATGCTTCGCTTACGCTGGTATATGTAAATGAATAAACGCAAAAAGCTTACATGATAGTTACGTGTGTTATCTTTCTTCACCACAGTTTGCTTCACCACAGTTTTCGGGACAAACACTAAGTTTTCCCCCCTCAAAGCTTAATGGTATTGTCGACATGTGGCTAAATCTGTCCTCCTAAACTTTAAAATTATTATTTAATATATTTAAATTAGTGTAACACACAAACATTGTTTGAGTCACCAATCTCGTAAAATCGCATAGGTGCATGCCAGACATCCATGATACATGCCGTCGAACAGTGGCGAATGGAAAATGCCTTTGAGAAAGACCTATCGATTGCTTGTTTAAATATATCTTGACATATTCACCACACCTTTTCTTCAATCTGCTAACTGTTTAGGAATGCTGATTCATATGTTTACAAGATTATCAACAAAGACGTTGCACTGTTACAATATAATCATTATAGTAAATTATTTTACCACGCCGACAGCATCACTGTACTTTTCTGCTCGTCTTAGATAAAAAACTATGCATGTTATTTACAATAGGCGTGTTTTTGACGAGACTTGTTATTGAACTCCCGTTACCCGATAAACCGAGTAAAAAAACTTTAATATTGATAAATAGTGTATAATTATTAAGGATGGCTTTTCCGTAGGGTTCCGATTCTACAGTAGAAAAAACTTGAAAATAAGGTTAATTAAAAAAAAAGGATTACATTTGACTTAATTGGCATAGTCAAAAAGCGTAGACTTGTAGTACTAGAGAATCCTAGGACTTATCTCCGGTAATGAATTGGACAATTTTATATGCATTTTATACATCGTTTGTACTTTTGAAAAAAAAAAAATTACATATCCGTTCTGTAAAGAGCTCCGGAACGTTTTTACCCACAAAACTTTAAAGAACAAGGAAATTATTATTCTCGGAGTTAACTCCTTTCCCATTTCTACCAATCTGACAAACCTTCTTTCCAAGAATGAATGAGCAAATTTGCATTATTGATAAGTGACATGTCTAGATAAAAAATTTAGGTTAACGTATACGTTATGATAAGGGACAAATCAGTTTGTTATCTTGTAAACAATTACTTATCTGCTATATTGATTTATAAAATAATTTACTTTCAAAGTGTTTTCAGCAATTGGTTTTGCTTAGCGGCAATTGGTTTCTTCCGGTAGAATACAATCGCAATGATCCTTGTCATGACAAAATGCTATTGGATCACTTCTTTTTCAACCTAGCACTCATATGGAAAAGAATAAGGAGACCAACATAATATATACAACTGAAATAGTTTTCTTAATTTATAATAACGGTTGACCGGAACAGTACAAGGGCTCAATTATAGTCTCTGATTATCACATCGTGCACCACATGTCGTCCGTCGGGTTTAAAACCTGTATGAACTTCCCTATCAGATATAAACATGCTCCCATTGGTGATTAGAAAACCCCAACAAACATTAATTCGACACGGGCGATTGTTGGGAGAAAAAAAAATTGGATAAAATGAAATGAGAGAAAGCAATCGTAAGCTTGTCCGGTAGGGCATTTCGTCCGAACCACATGGGTGACCTCAAACGGTATGATATGAGAAATATAATAATGAACGAACATTAATATAAACCAATAAGTAGGCTTACTAATATGTTTACCTGTTAGACAAAGAAGTGTTCGGATTGCGTCACCAACAGACGTTGTGCGAGTCAGCACGCCGATGTGCGAGTGAACACGCCGATGTGCGAATTCTTATATTCGCACATGCCTTCTGACGGAATTTTAGTTCCTTAGGACAAAATGAAGAATGAAGAAAAAATAACTGCTGCATTCTGTGAAATGTCACCCTGTGTGGAACAGATTATCCGTATAACGTGTGCTCACGGCAAATTAAAAATATTGGTTGCATAATCGAGTGATCGGAGTCCTTCCCCTCATTTAATGGGGGTTAAGTTAAAGTTTCCGCTATGCAAACAAATAGAAACTGTTATGAGACGGAACATTGCTGAGTTTCAAGCTTTCTGCCAAGAAGTATATGCATGCCGTAATGTGACGTCAGTAATTCGAGGGAAAAGACACACAACCATTAGTCAGAAGGAAAAGCTTTGGTTAAACTTTATATTTCTAACGGTTTTTCTAGAACCATTTAATGGTAAAAATTTCAAATAGTATGTTCATAGAACTGAAATTGTTGCGTTAGTCATTGGTTCGCTTTTACATCCAGACCCTCTAAAAATAGCAACCGAATATCCTGTCCCTATACGTCGGGTAAGATATTGCAAAGATGGTAGGGTGATAACAAAGGTTGGTACAAAAATTTATTGAAACAGCGGGTTGTAATAATTGGAAGGACCCAGCACATGTTGAGCAGAAAATGGGTTTGTTTGTAGCACGGATGACTCAAAATTAAAGACCTAGAAATAAGGTTACAAACGCCCTGTTTGACCGATCATCGAATACTACATATGTATTCGTGTTCTCTAATTATATATTTACTATTTATGTTGTGCTGTATGTCGGTTCAGCAACGTGGTCGTCAACCCTGTGCGCCTTTGGATTACAAATCGGAAATTAGGAGGCTGCCGTGATTTGCGTGTGTTCAGGATTGTCAGTTGGGCTAGAGAGATGGATTCAGAATTATGCTGGGGAAAATAATATTTGTAATAAGCCGACGTAAATTGACGCCATGTGGAGTTTGGAATGCGGAATGCGGAATGCGGCATCGGTAGGAAAGAATGCTCACAAAGAATTGCCCCCCGACAGTGGCGACATTATTCAGTGCAGCGATAATAATAATGCATCGTTAGAAAATGTGATTGTGATACAAAAAGCTTTATGGCAACACAATTACTTAATAGAGCGATCGGTGCACCCTTTCGAACAATAGTGACATGATTATACTTTATATAAACATTAATAATTCAACAGGGTCCCGTAGTAACATAGCAATTGCGTCTCAATGTATGCGATCATTCTGTTTTAACGATGGTTCAACAGAAAATTTCAAAGTAGAGCCCTGTCTCTGGGTAACTTTGTCGGATATTAAGAATCAAAATTCGATTAGGCATTCTACGACGCAGTTTTAATAGCCGAATGTATTATTCCTTTGGTATAACATATATTGTGCATTGGAATTTCCTCGTTCTGCTGCTTTTTGTCATCATTTGAAATAATAACTTTGTTATGCTTGAATATTTTAAGAAACACGACTACCCGAAAACTGACCATGAATTCTGAAATGGGACTTTACGTCGTAAAAAGAATTGTTGCTGATAAAAAGTAATCTACGAGATGCTCTCATAATATCAATGGTATTCTCAACGTTTTAGAATAGTGTTTCGAAGAATTCTATTGTTGACAAAGTTTTGCATCACAGATGGGGATGACAAGTTATACAAAGACTATCATGTATACAGAACCTATGAGGCTGCAAATTACCTTAGATCGGCCCTGTCGGTTGACTTATTTGTGGGGAACCGTTCATCTTTTGCCGGCAATATTTACGATTACACGAATTAATAATTAAGCTATTGAGCAAACGCAAGAGTGTGTTATTATCCAACCAAAATTGTGTTTGTTCATTGCAGCTAGACTTGCACAATTGTATTGTTGAGTCTTATCTTTTAAAGCACATTCCCTTGTCAATAAGATTTTAAAAAACGGATTCATGTTTTATTATTTGGAACACGCAAGTTGCGTGGGGTTTGCATTCGAGAATGATCAATCGCATGATAACCAATAACACAAACACAGTATTAGGACACGTGTTGGTGTTTTGTGATTGTATTGCTGTCACTTGCGCTATGGCAAGCAATGTAACAGTACTACTCCCAATTGTTTTGGCGGGAAATATGGCTGAATAAAAAAACAAAAGTAATTTGAGAAAGGGGGAGGAAGAGAGGGGGTGGGTGAGTGGTAAAATAATAGTGATGGGAAACGATGATAGCGGTAACAGCAAAACATGGATATCGGTAATGATGTTGGCTGCTATGAAAAATTACAGAGGGTAGCAATTTAACGGTTTAGTGGTCATATAATGTTAATATACACTGTATTACTAGGTAACACATTAAATCGTATTCTAGGTAACACATTAAATCGTATTACTACGTCAATAGCGTATAGGAATTAGAAATTTTCACTATACAGAACAATATATAACGATGAATTAACAATTCAATTAAGAATTACGAAAAGGCCATAACAAGTTATGTTAGTATACACAGATGTCTAACCAATATAGGAACATCACATTGATGCTAGTCAGGCCTGGTCTAATCAAATAATTAATGATATTTAATAACATTAAGCATTGTTTAAATATGCTACTTGTGCCTGTTCAACGTATGGAAGAACCTTAAAATACCAAATGGGATTTCCTTCAACAAAGAACATGTTACAATTTGTACATACTAAAAAACATTGGCCTATCACATGGTCAGTCATCGTAAGAAGATAATCAGTTATAATTTTACAGCAGCGTTTTAAAAAAACACTTTAAACAGTACTGTATGAATATACATGTATACATTCGGATATATCTGTATACATTTGCATGTATAAAAAAGTCGGCCTGGCTTTATTTTCGCATTCATATTGGGGGGGCACATGACCGTAAAAAGAATTGTGATAATTCAATCTATCTATCGCCGTAACTTAGTCGCATCATTGATGGTGACGTAAATTTCATGATATCAGCGACGAAGCCAGCGAAAGGAGACAAGGAGTGAAGCAGTTCTTTAAATGCTTGGCTGTTATGGGGAAGATAGTGCACAACAAACAGTTCATGTCAATATAAAAATCTAGTCTGGCATGATGGTAAGGGTTGAAGGGCATTTTACTAGTCTTGCATTCAAGCATCTTTTTGTCTTCGCGCATCCCTTCACTACAAAGCCTTATAAGTTTATTACAAACTGTTCGATAAGATCTGACTGTAATAAAAAGAATTCGTTTCTCATAGGCATTTTCTCGTTCGTTAATTGATTTTAGACGTCGAAATACTGTAATCTCTATCCAATGAATAATTCTACGAAACAAGCTGGTAGATGCGGTCTGTGGGAAAATGTGTTTAAACCTAATTATTAACATTGTAGGGTTTAAAATTTATCACTCCCAAGGGTATGCTTCAATACTTACGCGAAAATTTACTAGAAGAGTTTTTTTACTTCGAGTGACTTTATTTAGCTATCTGAGCATAGTAACAATTTCGTATGAAGAATGATGACGTTCTTCTATCTGTTGCTTCATCACAAAATTAACGCCTACGTCTGATATTGTGAAGGATTGACCACCCATGACAAATAAGGCCGAATGCTTCTGGTTATTGCAATGTCCGTGTTCGTATCATTAATCTACTGATCCCGATCGACACGGTATGGCAAATTTCTCGTCAGATGCCAACTATACTATGTAACTGGGTACTTACTCCTAATATAGACGGTGAACTGGTCGCAAGACATTTTGACGGTCCGTTTATTGTCATTATTGTGAATGTCCTGAAAATATTGCACGCTATAATGATAGGCATATAATGAAAGCAGCAGTCGGCATTGACCTCTCTGATATTGCCGAAGGAAAGCGTATAGACATCTACGCAAACGTACGTGGTCAAGAACAAATACAAGCATACCTTATAAACTAACAATCCCACGGAGATCAAATGCACAATGCTCTTTAATAATAGTAAAATAGTCCCCAGTTGTTACATTGGTTTTTTGCCTATTACATCTTCTCCATGTGTGTTTGACGTTCTGTTGATGATGCTTACAAAAAGCATATTCGGGATACGCAATAGTCTTGGTAAGATGGAGGATCCATATTGTCCAATAGTGTGGAATGGATTGATGAGTTGTTTGAAGTTTCGGTCATTATGCAAGAATAAGAATTCTTATATTAGACAAATCCACCGAGTAATCTGATACCCTCGTTTTTGACGTTTATCATCGATGGGGTTATATAAGTGTGTTCCCTCGATGTGCTTCGATTAAAAATGGCTCATGGTATAATTAGACGACGGACTGGTGGCTGCACAATCGCACAAAAATACTACTTTTCAACAGCGCCTTGTGCAGTTGTAAGCGTATCATGCGTGTGTGTTTACATGCGTTCGCAAGGATGTATCAAATACTGGATCAATGTCTTTCACATCCTACGGTACAAATCTGTCTTTGTTGGATTATGAGTAGCCGAACGTCATCTTCCGCGGGGGAGGGGACTTGTTATTTCTAGAAACAAGACGTTCTTCCATACGATTCTATATTGTGACGAGACCGTAATTGGTTATGAAGTTCTGATACTCTTATCCTCGTCTCGCTGAAGAGTAGTTCATGTTTGCCCATGAAAATTATTCTGATGTGGAAGCAAACGATTAAGTTGTGTACTAATAGAATGAGGACATAGAAGATGGTATGGTCTTAAAATACAGTGAACCCTCTCCAAAAGCACAATATTTTTCCTCTCTAAATGCAAGCTCTCCCCTGTAAATGCAAACCTCCGTAAAATGCAAGTCATGACTGATTTGGCCATATGGTCCCAATGCATTGCATTTAGAGAAGGTTCACTGTACCTACTTAGTATTAGCTCTTTAACGCAAAGCATCTCCAAGACGTTACCATACTCGCATTATACAATACTTTGTGACTGAAACGACCGATACCTGTTTTCAGCATCCATAATTACGTTTTAAACAAGATCCAAAGGTGACCGTAAATCGACCTTATTCTTTGAACCAAGACCGAGTAAACAAACAGTAATGTTAGAAGTGAGTCTTTTGTAGGATTGCTATTTATTACTGACTGTCGGTGATAAAATGCAAGCAGGAGTCGAAAGATGGTATTCTAAAAATTTGTCGAATTTGACAAAAGCGGCGGGTAAAGATGATAAGAATGTGAATATAGTAAACAGAGAGCGAGTAGCAACCCAGATAAAGCGATTTTTACTCGAATGTATTCAAGCTCTACAACTGACTAACCTATATGAGTATTGCGTGATTCCACGCGGCTCTCCATCACTACTCTGTCACTGACATGGGCTTCGTTAATTTTATCTAATAGTTTCGATAATTTTTCTAATTTCTTTTCAACTTGCTTCGTTCGTATGTAAGCTGACCCTAAAGTGAAACGGGCAGTACTATATACGCATATCTTCTTCCAAAAACTGGGCGGTTAACTTTTGTTGTTGCGCAGCATTGAGGATTTGAACGAAGGCAAATGTGTTCACAGGGAGATTCAAGAAGGCAATGTGTTTACATAGCTGATAGGAATGGAGATTAAAGAAGGCAAATGTGTTTACATAGGGAATGGAGATTCAAGATTGCGTCGAACAGTATACATTTAAGATGCCATCCGATGATGGATTTCATCACCAAACCGCCGCCTATAGAAATTTTCATTGACGGTCAGGTGCTAAATCTTGGCAAGCGTTGTTTTACCCGTGACGGACACAGATAACCAACCAAAATCTATTTGGGAAAATACTATTAACCAGATAAAATTGTTCCACATTATTAGGAACGTTTTCTAAGTTAGTGTCATGTCCAATATCTAGTCAAAAGATTTCAGTCCAAGTATTGTATTTGTGAAATCACTATGACGAATGCTTTAATTAGACTGCCTCCATTTAAAAATTATTTCCTTGTAGACGCCAACCTTTTTCCAGCGTGCCTTGTAATTAAATTCCCACAATCGCGCATTGCGTTTATATGTTCAGACCCATGAAGTAGACACAATAGCCCTAGACGGATTACCAGGGAGTTTCTAGACACTGTATATCGTCTTTATTCAGAAAATAGTCGATAATAGAGAAAAATGGCTAACTAACAAAACTATTTTACTCAGGAGGTACGAATAAGTGAATCGCTATTCCTACATCCAAGGGAACAAGATATAAAGAAGCAATAAGTTATCTCAGTTCGATATAACTAAATAATAGATTACCCAAATTTACTAATACCAAAAAATCTGATATATAAAAAACGAAGAACAACCATACAATCTCGCAAAGAATCGAATTATAGACATTAAACTTTCCAGGTTAGTATCTGCTTTCACGATAATTACTGAATCGCAGCGTTTGTCATCGCGCCAGCGTTGTTGGAAGGAGTAGAGGTGGTAGTAGGTGGTGTTTGAACCAATGTTTGATAATGAACAGAAGGTGGATTATAGTTGGTCAAATCATAGTTTATAGTTGAACAGTTGACCACATTTTCATTGTTTCCGATATATCCGTAATTTTCGATATTCAACGATTCGTTCACACCAATGTAAACGCCGCCGTTATGATCGAAAAGGCCGATATCGGAAGGAAAAGTTTGAACATTATCTGAAACAATAGCTATTAAAGACTCAAATGTCTTTCTGTCTTCCTCTAGTCCGGCTAACCTTGATTCTATTGATTCATTACAAGCAAAGACACTTAATTATCTTCATCCATAGGAATCTTCGTTTCCTCCAACAAAGTTTGACTTGTCTTGGACCAAGGCCTGCAGTTTCAACCGTGCCATATTAATATAATGTTAGAAACTGGCACATAGAAGCATAGAGGATTTAGAGGAATTTTTGACACGGGAAATGGAATTCTATTTCAGAGCCCGTCTTTAATAATTTAGTAAACCACACGTCGTTGCGACGTCGACGCCGTTTGGAGCGATTAATAAATATATAAACTTTATCTAGTATCTTTGTGCGATATATGTGTATAATATAATATAATAAATTTATTATACTGTATAGTTGTTTAGACTATAAAAGCATGGACGGGTAGTATATGTATAGTATATAAGATTCGCCGCAAAGATTTTACGGTAAACGGGTATTTGAAGGAATCACATGTGACCATGTGATCAATGGTACATATTCTGCCACATTTCGCAACGCGTTTTTAAATTTCTCGTTCCAACACGCGCTTCTCTTCCCGGGAACACCAACGGCCCAAGTCTTTTACTCTTTCCAACTTTGACTCGTCCGTCCCTACAAGCCTACATTAACATGTCGAAGTCTATACCTCTTCTACCGAATAATCTTCATCACAAGGGTAAATTTGGCTTTACTACTATATCCTAACCCCCCACATTTTGGACTTATCTAATGACTCTGATTCTACAGATTACTGGACAAGTACTGGTGTCAAGAGCTGGTCCATTGAGTCTTTCGACCTGTACTGGATTCAGCAAAATCCCCGCCTATGTAAAAAAATTAGTCGGGCTCACACCTCTCTGGGCAAGGAGTTGGATCTTCTTTTTCAGTCATCAGATCAACAAGTTGTGGAAAAAGCACAATTGCTAAAAAGGCAGCTTAAGGTCAGTTTTATTCAGTGTAGATGTCAGGCAAATTCTATGTACTACATCCCTCAATTTTTCGGGGAGGAAGTGATTCTTTCATGTGTACACCTCACTGAAAAATGAACAATCCATTGCCATCAATATTTTTGGAACACTTTTGATACTAATCACACATTTATTCTTTCCTTCTTTTTACATAATAAAGAATGGATCATCAACAATTGATAACATCATATGGAATAGAAGTGAGGAGATTGTAAATTCTCATGTTTGTTTGACTTACAGTGAATTTCTGGCAAAGGTAATAATCAGATTTTACTATTACAGCTGCAGAATATGTTAGTTGGTATGCAAAGTATGCTAATTATTTGTTTCTCTCATTTGATTTTAGATCAATATAAAGACAAATATTGTTGACAATATTACAAATTCTGAGGAAAGAAAAAGGTTTTTCAGAATTCCCACCCAGATTGATTATCAGTCTTTAACCATCATAATAATTCTAAATATGATATTTTTCCCCCCCAAAAGGAAACATCATAATGATTATGATGTCTCATTTGATAAGTTCATTGACAGAAGTTCTGAAGAAAAGGAAACAGGGAAAACAGCAGTGAAGGAGAGCTGCAATGATAAACTTGTAGAGATGGCTCTTGGTACAAGAAATTTGAAGAACATCAAGGGTGATGAAGATGAGAGCAGTGACATTGAGTCTAAGAATCAAAATGACAATGATGTTCCTGCCTCCAGCAACAATGGCCTTGAGAAGGTTGAGGATGGTGAAAACATAGATATTGACCTAGAAAGCATTGTGGATGAGCTGCAGTGCACACCAAAGGATGTGGTATGCCATATTAATATGTATTAAAGTTTTAGTTCCATTCACTCTACAGTTTTTACTTATTTTTGTTACAACAGTGGTATGTTGGCACAGTGAATGTGACAGAAAGATTCCGGTGGTATCAAGAAGAGGTGATAAAGAAGGCAAAAAGTGAAGGCTTAACATATAAAAACATTTATGAAGTCCTGTAAGCATAAAGATTCAACATACACAAAAATCATATCAAGACATTTTAACATCCTTTTCTCCTACACATTTAGAGCTTTGTCATCAGTAATAGTTTTTTGTTGGCCATGTCCTTATCCAGTATTTACCAACCAAGAATGGTTAGAGATAACAAAGAGCAATCCTTACACTCTAAATGAGCTGCCACTTCTGCCAGAGATTTCAAACCATCTTATCAATGGAACCCGTAGACATCTTGCCAACAAAGACACTTTCCTGGATGGTGGGAAACCTGGATTAAGTGGGAAAATTGCATGCCTGTTCAATGGCCTGTGAGTTTACAATTCTATAATTTGTTGATCCATGAGTTTGTTTTCATATGGAACCTTTCATGTTGCAGATACAACAGTCTTCCAGCAGTTGCACCATTAAAAATATCAGAGGTGGAGCACTGCTATAGGTTTCTTTACCCAATTACCTGTCCATTCTTTCTTGGCCCCCAAAAGGAATATAAAATGTTGCTGAATTATTCCACAGGAGACTCAAGAAAGAGGCTTGGCTTTGCCTGTGTGGTGAATGATATACCAATTTTGATCTCAGAGATCAAACCACTTGGATATACACCACTACAACAAAAAAAGGACAACTTGAAGGTACAATTGCAAGCCAGAAAATCTATTAATCAGCAATTGTTGACAAAGGGTGGTCCGGGTGAAGCAGCTATTTTTGTAAATATGGGTATGTATTCTTGGCAAAGAATGAAAAAATTTTGTAGATGCTGAACTATGGTTTGTTGATGAGTAGGCACACTGATGGAATCATACTTCATGGACCTGAAATATGATGGACTCTACCGCTCATGGCCATTTCTTACAACCAGATTAGTGACTGACAGAACTACAATCCCATTGATGGAATTTGCTATCAGTCATTTGATGGCTTTAGAGGTATTTGACAGTGTCTGCTCTGAGCTTGCAGTGACATTGTGCTTACTATTGTTTATCTTTGACAATGATTAGGAACAAGTTGGAAAAATTGCAATGAACTATAAATACCGAGCAACAAATTCACACATCTGCACAGATGAGCTTCATGCATGAACTTCCAAACTCTCCACAGATAAAGCTGTTGCTTCAGTAATAATTGGTTTATATTTGGAACCCAATCTGCCTCAACAGCAGATTTAACAAAACAAACTACAAATAAATGTTATTCAAGAAGCTTCACTGGACCAACAACTCTTGTAGAAAGGTTTATCTTTGTCATTATCACCAACTTCTTTATCCAAAGATCATTCACAAATTCCAATAGTACAACACAGCCTCAAATGACCAACATTCCCCCAGATTCATCATGGCTACATTTCTTTTCATCAGTTTTCCTTTTAGTGATAAATTTATAATATTGTGACACTTGTGTAGCATATTCAGGAAATAAAGCGAGATAGTGTCCAAACAGTTACATTCTCATTATCCTCCCATCATACTACTAACATTATTTTCGAATTATAAACAATATTATCGCTCGAGTCTTCGAATTGTTTCAACGCCATTCACATATCGCATATACCGTTCTCAATTGACATCTAAGCTGAAACACATCAGCATTTTTTGCTTACAAATACATCGAAGCAATAATGCATATCATACTTGCATCCTATACTGCTTTTTTATAAATCCAATTGGCACGTTAGTTTGTCTTTTATAACATATAGAGGTGTCAAATATCTCAAAATTATCCATATTTTGCCAAAAACTATGTTAGAAATCGTCCTCGTCTCTGTTCACATCATATCAGTCTTCTTATCCAGTTAGCTCGACGCCTCACTTCTACCTATTGTCTTCATCATTCGTCGAAGTACTCCAAGATTGAGAAGGGTCTCTAAATTTTTTTCTTATCTCGGCGGGTTATGTAATAAGACATACTGTAACAATAACAACAGTACCCTCGTGTTTTCCTACCAATTATAAACTATATTTATAATATTCACTATTTCGTTGTTATGTAATATACCATTATCAATTACAAAACAAAGTTTTTTTTCTAACATCAATCCAATATTGGGGGCTCACACGGCATCGATTGTCACTGTCACACTTCTGTTTTGATTTTCTACAACCGCATCGGCCATCAGCGCTCGATGCAACCCCGCTGTACTTTGGGCTCTTACCGTCTTTCTCAATGTTACTTGTTCCTGTGGTATTCAGGGAACTCAGCTACTTCCAATAAATTCAAGTCATTGCCTTCACAAGTAACATTCAAAATCCAGACACATCCTAGCCGATACTTTTCATTTGTTTCGATTGATAATAATGTGTCGATCGATATGTGGAATTAGGACAGTGACTATAGATTCAATTTGAAAGTCCGATTTTCCTTTCGGGAGGAGCCGATCCGTCCCATAATTCTGCATACCGAGTTCTATTACTACAATAATCATATAATACCTGCCGCAATTTAAAAAACCCCCCCCCCCCAATAAAAATTTTTTTCTATCATATTCTTTTTAGTAACAATTGTGAGCATTATGTTTATTTATTTTTGATCTGGGGAAGACTTTTGTCTGTAGCCGTAGCCGGTGACGTTTTTGGAAGACGACTCTTATCTAATGAAAGTGGAGCGGATAACATGTTCATTAAAAATATGCACTGTGGTCTTGCATTAGTGTTACTATACCTACCAAACTTTTTTATGGCCGAATCTCGTTATTCTTACCGGTTAGACTGCATATCAATGTCAAGCATAATATTTTTAATACCTCAACCATCAAGTTTATTGTATCCGTAAATTACAGTATCAATATATCCTATTATCAGTTATTTTACGCTCGTATTTAGTGATGAAAAACACTCTAAGATCTATTCTCGAATTGAAAGAGCAAGTGCTAAAAAAGATTTAATGCCAGCTGCAATCTTCCAGATAATAACGATTAGTTATCAAGGAGCTTCTACACGATGTATATCGTCTTCATTCAGACGATGGTTAATACTAATAAAGGGGAATTAATTACTAACTTACAAAATTGGAAGGGCACAATAAATTATTGCCAAGTATGCCTGAAAGCAAACAATAATATACGAAAAGGTATAAAACAAATAATAAAAATTCCCAAAAATTTACTATTACAAAGTCTGATATCTAAAAATGAAAACCATGCTAACAAATTACATACGTATTCGTTCCACCCTCTAACATGATTGAATAATGGACAATAATCTTTCCAGGTCAATATCAGCATTCATAATAATCACTACGTGTGCGTGGCTCCTGGCGTTTGTCGTGCCAGCGTTGTTGGAAAGAATAGACGCAGGTGGTGTTTGAACTAATGTTTGAGGGGGTAGATAATAAATCGAGGGTGAAGTGGAATTGGTCAAATTATTGTTTCCAACGTATCCGTAAGGTGTGGTATTCATCAGTTCATTTCCACCTGTGTAGACGTTATTATTGTCGAGATAGCCGGTACCAGTAGAGAAAAAAGTTTGACAGAGAGGTTGATGGGATATTTTATTGGGATCATGATAGGAATAGATGTCATTGAAGTCACTAATGGGTTGATTTATGTTCGTGTAACCCGAGTCCATAAGAATTGTTTGATTTAACGGAAGACTGTTTGTATAGTTAGAGTCCGTCTTATGTATCTGATCGGATGGAATGTTGTATATATAACTTTCGTTAATTGATTGGTTATTAAAACCAGCCATATCATATGTATAACGATAAGACATGAAAGCTTGGAAATTCGACAGATGAATGAGCATGGTGTATTTATAGCCATAAATATATCAGATATATTTTTTAGAGCTGTGTCTGTGTATTGTTTGACAAGTGGCTTTGTCTGTGTAACTATACAATCACCATTCTTGATAAGTCTTATACTATCGCTATTGGTAAGAAGTCATCGGTTTCTTTCCTATAACCTTTGAGTCACATAAATGTCTTAATAGATAGATTGTAAAGTCTCCAATTTTGTGAAGAATATCGGAGCGCACCGATTATATTCCGGAAGATTGTAAAATCCGAAACCAGCCGTCTTATGCATTAAACGCTCGATATTTGTCAGATGACAAGTCATGTCTAACAAAGAAAAGCGAAAGCTTTGTGGGAAATTTGGCTGTGTGTTTTACCCGCATATAGCGACGTTAGCGTTAAAAATGTTATAGACTATATTAATATATTCTTAATTACATACAGCTCGGCGAGTTCCGCTTAGTCAAATTAAGTTGAGCTCTTTCTTTGAAACGTTAAGAGCAACCTGTTTTACTGCAGAGCTTTGACGTACTTCTTTGGCTACCGCAGTGGGTTATGCTAATAGCGTTACTTATCTGGGGGGGGTTTAATTGCCATAAACGATTAAGGAGAGTATAAAAACCTCGAATCTTGATTTCATTGGTTTAATCTAAATGAGGTAATTCTAAAAAAAGATCATGTATATAGTGTATATTAATATGGTGTATGTAATTTGCGTCACTATGTAATCCCGGATTTACACATTAATTTGCGCCTGATGTCCCAAAAACGTAATTTACATATGAAATTTGTAATCCTATATCTGTTTGTTGATATGACGATAAGCTACGATTATGTTAATTAAGACATTCAATATTTTAAGTCAGCGTTCTTCCTGCGTTTGTTAAGTTTTGTGTGCTACAATTTTAAAGTTATCGTATTATCTACACATCCATTCTCCACTTTACTATCTATATTATTCTTGCATTACAGCCTCCTTACTAGAGTATAGCTATGTAATTGAACTGTGTGCGACGGACTCTATCAATAATTGAATAATATCTAAATCAAACTTCCTGCGTTTGCCAGCTTCCTCAATAAAGTATAGCACTTCACTTCTTTAATCGACAAAGACTATTTGTCACTAAACTGTAAGATTGCACCGTATTACTAGCAATTATTTAAGATTATTTATCGACAGTCTACGTCATATTACTATAAAGAATAAATCGTATGATGCATGCGATATACCTAAGTATTGTCAGCAATTGTTTGAAGAAGACTATTTATCAACAGTCTACATCATATTAAATACTAATAATCGTACGATGCAATCAGTTTTCTGTGGGATCAACAAGCCAATATGTGTGCACAACATATCAAACATGTGATCGGTGTTCTTTGATTGTTGAAACATCTTCTGATGTCATCTTCCAAGGGTCTTATTGCTTTATGTGGTTATCATGGTTCAAATGTTCTACGTATATTAATATTAATATGTCTGGAATGATATACCAATCGAAATGAATTCATGATGAAAGTGTGATAACGCAATTAACGATGATTTGAGCAATATAGATGAGGCGACGGATGATGAATATGCTAGTTAAATGTGTTAACCCGAAGTGTCAACCGGATAACAAAATCCGATATATTTATATAAACAATTACATGTATATCGTACTTTCTCTAACATCCTTGAATAATAGACAATAAATTTTCCAGGTTAATATCTGCTTTCATAATAATTACTATGCATCCATGACTCGTAGCGTTCGTCATCACGCCAGCGTTGTTGAAACGAGTAGAAGTATATGGCATTTGACTTGATGTTTGAGGGAGAGAATGATGAACCAAGGGTGAATTGCAATTACAGTTCATATTTGAATAGTTGACCACATTTTCATTGTTTCTGATATATCCGTAACTTTCGGTATTCAACGATTCATTCACACCCATGTAAATGCCGTTATGGTCGAGAGGGCCGATATTGGAAGGAAAAGAATCTTGACCGGGAGGTTGGGGAGGCGTTTGATTGTGATGATAGGAATGGATGCCGTTGTAGTTCATAACAATCGGTTGATCCATGGTTGTTTGATTTAATAGAAGGTCGTTTGTACAGTTAGAGTCCATACTATTCAGCTGATCAGATTGAATATATTTGACCACATTTTCATTGTTTCTGATATATCCGTAATTTTCGGTATTCACCGATTTATTCACACCCATGTAAATGCCGTTATGGTCGAGAGGGCCGATATCGGAAGGAAAAGAATCTTGACCGGGAGGTTGGAGAGGCGTTTGATTGTGTTGGTAGGAATGGATGCCATTGTAGCCCATACTAATCGGTTGATCCATGTTCGCGTAACCAAAGTCCGTAATAATAGTTTGTTTTAATGGAAAGCCGTTTGTATAGTTAGAGTCCATACTATTCAGCTGATCGGATTGAATATTGTATGGATAGCTTTCGTGATTCGATTGGATATTGAGACCGGCCATATCGGAAACGATAAGAGATAACACAGTTCTTGGTTTGAGATTCGATGGATGATATTCGAGGTATATATACCAGAGTAAATTTATGTGTCTTTTATTTATAGAATGCTCCACTTCCTAAATTAATCCTAACAAAAACGACGTGTTATAATTCCTAATGATGTCAAGGTAACAAAAAAAAAGATGGTTTGATTGGGGTCCACCGCTGACTGCTGCAAAGTTTCGTTTTTTGATACACCAGGAGTTTCGTTTTTGCAACACCCCAAATTTTGGTTTTGTTTTTGATACGTTTTTCCCAATACCCAAATTTATCCGAAATACCATGAGCTATTAATAGTGATCGTAACGTTGTCAAGCCAGAGTTCTATTTCCTAGCTTCAGACCTTGTCGTCATCTTCCAGTTCTCAAATTTCCAACGGAACTACAGCAGAGGCTCCTGTATTGATCCAAAGTCCATATAAATATTCTGCTAAAGGATTGAAGAAGCTCATAAATGACTCTTGACTATTAGCTTCTCAAGAATATGTTCTAGTTAGCGTATCTTGCCCATAATTAATCATCGATAGTTTTGATGTCACTAATGCGTAGGTGTCTCATTCATTTTCTAACTATTGAATAAATTTAATGAAATATTTATTTGCAAGACATTTCAATTTGAATAGATTGAAATACAAATATGTGCACTTGCCGAATGCTACTTGGGCTCAATGTCTAGCACTTTGGCATACCACGTTTACTATTAATAGCTTCTGGGTAGTGACGAAAGCGTGACTTTTGCTGCAGTCAAAAAAGTTGGGGTGCTTGCAAAAACGAAACTCCTGGTGTATCAAAAAAACAAAAAAACAACGAAACTTTTGCATGATTGCGATATAATCATAGCATACAGTGCACTTGTCTATTGGCATACTGTTGGGACCAGCTCACTTATGCAAATAGACATATTCACGATATGATTTATATAGACGTTACGCTAGAAGATAATGGAAATCAGAACAATGGGAAAGACAAGTTGCCTGTTATTTCTGTTAACAAATGATTAGAAGCCCTATCTAGGGACTGTTCTGGCGAAGTTAAAAAGTCGACTAATGTAAAGAATACCATGGAAAAACAAAGAAGATGATTTTGTTGATCTTTCTTGCATGCATACGTTTGATGGGGGTCTAGACGTACCGGATGCAAAAGCATATGATATGCCACTAGTTAGATTTCTATTGGATAATATGCAGAGTCAAAAGTATTCATTATGTGTACTAACTATATATTACAATTACAATACTACGGGCGCTGTAAACAAAAAAAAGTTCCTATATCAAATAGTATGAGTCAATTATACAGGTAGGACAAGAAACCCAGATTACGAAATTGTACATTACAATGGTGCGAATCATAAGACAAAATTTATAATAATTGAAATCAACAGGTTTGTTTAAAAAATTAGTATGGAATGTGTTCACCGTTACTTTCTGTAACAAGCGTTATTGACCGTACTAACCCAATTAGGAATATTCCCATAAAACGTCGTATTTTCTTCTCTTAGCACTACTACAGAGATTTTCTGTTGATTTGTTAAAAAGGGCCAGTCTATAACTTCAGACGCATTATCCTAAAGACAGTTTTTAGCGAGGAAGCTAGTATGTTTTGGGTCGTTGTCTTGTTGAAACCGCCACTCGTTTCTTAATAAGTCTACAATGTCTCCGGAATATGTCTACATGAATGTTTGTATAAAACTGTTTACCCTTATGCAGAATCCTATCCAAGCAAAGAGCTTCGTTTGATACTTTGACATAGGGTAATAAATAATTTTGCGTTTATGAATTTTTACACCATTCCTAATGTCTTTGTCCCTCAACTGCTGTATAACTTGGCGATTAGTCTAGATGTCATCGTTCTAATTGATATTTCTCGAAGAATGGTGAAGGAATTTAGGAATAATATTAGTGAAAAATACCTATAGACAAGCAGTTCAGATATAACTTTACAATTTACATTGTTTAAATCGACCTAAAATTGGTGGACTAAATGTTGAGAAAATATTCCTGCTTTTTTTGTTCTACACTGTATTTATATACATCACGTACAGCTATTTTCTATACACTATTCCACCATGTTACTTACTAGCAACACGCTATAAAGAAACCACTCTGCTTCTAATATATATTTTCGGGAAGACACATAACAGCCTTGATCGTGGTCAATAAACAGAACATTTCGTATCAAACAATATTAAGGAAGAAAACTCACGTACTATCAACGTTACCTAAAATTACTAGTAAGTATAGTAAAATTTTTATTTCTGAAATATCTACTGTTAGAATTTACTACGTAAAAAACAATAATTTTGGTATCGTTTTGAAGCTAATTGATTATATTTTCAAAAAAAATCAAAACAAAAAACGAAGATATATTTAGTTTGTGATAATGTAGAGCTTTATTGTCTAACTACGGTTAACCGCTAGAGCTAGTTTTAACATATATACCAGGCCAGGCAATAAAGAGCTTGGTCTAGGATATATTTAGTTGCAGTTGAGCATATCGATGCTACACATGATTTTTATATATTTAGCATAGATACGCCCACACCATCGAACTGCGAAAACTAAATATAATTCATGGTGCTCGGCGTTGTTCGAAATATGCTACAATAAACCTTATTGATTTAAAGGGAATAATGGATTTAAAATGTGAAAATTACCAAAGACAAATGTAAAAACAAGTTATCTAAGAAAATGTAAGGTGCGTGGTCACAAGGAGATGACATAGGAGACGAGGTTAGAAGCCGTATGGCTGTTTGGGTAAAATATGTACTAGGACTTCTTCTTTTTTTGACAATACTAATACAATCAATTAGTTTCAAAATTATTATCCTTACGTAGTAAACATTGACAGTGGAGATTTTCGGAAATAACGATAGTAAATTTTATTATGCTTACTAGTAAATTTTACAAATCATCCGCTATGTAGTCGATAACACTCATTATTATTACGCCAACTATAATCCAACATACGGTTTCTCTCACTTTATCAACACACGGAAATATAAGATTAGTTAGTAGATAAAAGGGTGTGAAGACATATTGTCACGAGCTAATAGCTCCTTCGGCAATAGAATGAATTTGAATATTATTTTTCAGGATAAAGTTTTGGCATTTTCTTGTGTTCCGAATTGGTCACTTGTAATAAAGTAAATTTGATAATTTGGAATATTAGACGCTGTATATAAGCTATACTGACTGCATCATTGATGGCAAACGTAAAGGGCGAAAACTAGAAATTAGCAATTAGGAACGACTCTCATTACTGTTATATTTCCGACGCTTCGGTTACGATGTAACAAAAGACACTTTAACTCAAACCTTTTCCTGCTATTAGTGCGCGTGTAATGTACATTTGGTCGTTTTCTGCCTATAGTCGTAATGTCATTTCTGAACGCCGATTGGCCCCGAAAAAATATTGAGTAAAGGGCGAGTGAGGAGTCAATTTATAACAGCAACGTAAGCAATGTTTAACAAATTATTGTTATAGTAAAAAAATCCCTCAATTTATTGGATAAATTTGATACAATAGACAACTATTAAAACTAAGCATTATTGCAGGAACTAAAAAGCTACCAATCTTCGTTTGATTTCTTTTTTTTTCTGCGCTGGCTGTTAAGTTTTTTAAAAGATAAACTTCAATTTTTTGCTTTGTTGGATATAAGCCTTTATTCCCTTTGCATATTTAGAGCATCCAATGTGTTAATAATAACAACGTTTAAAATATTTTCATCACTGTCATCTCCAGCGATCGAATTATCCTAATTTTGGCATAAGGTCAATAATTTCGGCATTGTCTTCCTATAGCGAATAGAAAATGAACAAAAAAAGAGATGTGTCACTCAGATTTGCTAATTTAGTCGACCGTTATATTAAATGTTGGTAGATTCCGATACTTTTTTCCAATAAGTATTTTTCCAAAAAAAATGTCGTTATACCGGTATAACGAAAATTTATGTATAATGTCGTTACATCGAATAAATAATTTTTTTGTTCTATCGAGACTCGTATCACACCATTGTTTATGTAATGTTATCGAAATAAAATGTACTTATTATTTCAAACTGGGTCAACCCGATTTAGAATTAGATCAAATTGTAATTTGGGGTCAGAACATATAAATCGTTGAGAAAATTTAATAGTACGGTATATCGTCTTTATTCAGAAATAGTCAATATTAATATTAATAGAGAATGGCCAACTTAAAAAAATCATCTACCCTCAAAGAGTATGAATAAGTGTAATCGCTATTTCTACATCCAAGGAAACCGATAGAAAGCAAGCAATAAGGTATCTCAGTTCGATAAACAATGAAAACCCAAAATTTACTAATACCAAAAATCCGATATATATATAAAATAAATAAGGTTAAACGGACAAATTACGTGTACTTGTATATTCTTTTTTTTTATCATTGAATAATAGACAATAATTCTTCCAGAGTAATATCCGCTTTCACAATAATTACTGTGCGTCTATGACTCGCAGCGGTTGCCATCGCACCAGCGTTGTTGGAAGGAGTAGAGGTAGGTAGTGTTTGAACTAAAGTTTGGGGAAGAGGATAATGAACAGAAGGCGGATTGTAGTTGGCCAAATCATAGTTTATAGTTGAATAGTTGACCATATTTTCATTGTTTCTGATATATCCGTAATTTTCGGTATCCAACGATTCATTCACCCCAATGTAAATGCCGTTATGATCGAAAAGGCCGATATCAGAAGGAAAAGAATCTTGACCGGGAGGTTGGAGAGGCGTTTGATTGTGTTGGTAGGATTGGATGCCATTGTAGCCCATACTAATCGGTTGATCCATGTTCGCGTAACCAAGGTCCGTAATAATTGTTTGATTTAATGGAAAGCCGTTTGTATAGTTAGAGTCCATGCTATTCAGCTGATCAGATTGAATATTGTATGTATAGCTTTCGTGATCCGATTGGACATCAAAACCGGCCATATCGGTATCGAGCGAGTATAAGCAACGATAAGAGATTGGGCAAAACCTATTATAAATGCGAAAAATGCGCGAATGGTGCGAATGTGTGCATAATACGTGGAATAGTATATTATTCAAAGAGCTTGAAAGGGAGGGGAGAGTGAACAACGAAACAAAGTTCGATACTATTCAAGACCGGGGGGGTGTGTATATATATGGATATTCTGTGTAGCACAACTATGGGTTATACAATATTTAGAATTGATATTATTTCCCCCCCCAAATGAGGAAATAACTGAGGTATGACTATTATTGGTTAACGTATTTGAATTTACTATAAAGAAACCACCTGATCGCGGTCAATTTTTAATATTAATGAAGAAAACCCATTTCTTTCTACAAATTCTTATAATCATTCATTCTGACGATATCATCCCAGTTCGCTATGTACTCGTGATTCAGCATACGACTCGCTTTATCAAATTCAATACCACATACGCAATTCCCAACGTTATCATTATAATACGTACAGTAAATCAACTCGCTCTACAAGCGTACACACTGTAATGCATTTATAATCTATCGCCGTAACCTAGTAGCATCATTGAAAGAAAAAGGTGGTGACGTTAAATTTCAAGATATCAGCGATAAAGCCAGCGAAGCCTGGAGAAAGGAGAGACAAGGAGTGAAGCAGTTCTTTAAATGCTTGGCTGTTATGGGGAAGATAGTGCAACAAACAGTGTGCAAACTTCATATCAATATAAAAATCTAGTCTGCCATGGCATGATGGTAAGGTTAATGGGCATTTTACTGGGTCTTGCATTCACAGTTCGGTAAGACTGACTAATGAAAAAGAATTCGTTTCTCATAGGCATTTTCTCGTTCGTTGATTTATTTTAGACGTTCTAGACCGTCGAATTGTAATCCTATCAATGAATAATTCTACGAAACAAGCTGGTAGATACGGTCTGTGGGTTTACAGTAGAAAGTGTGTTTAAACCTATTATTAACGTTGTAGGATTTAAAATTTATCCCTCCCTGATTATGGTATGCTTCAATACTTACGCGAAAATTTACTAGAAGAATTTTTTTACTTCGAGTAACTTTATTTAGCAATTCGGCTATCTGAGCATAGTAACAGTTTCGTATGAATAATGACGTTCGTCTTCTATCTGTTGCTTCATCATTAGATAATACAAAATTAACGCCTACGTCTGATATTGTGAAGGATTGACCACCCATGGCAAATAAGGCCGAAGTATATCGAATGCTTCTGGTTATCGCAATGTCTGTGTTCGGAGGCAGTTGATATCACTAATTACTGATATTTCCCGAACGATACGGTATGGAAAATTTCTTGTCAGATGCCAACTATACTATGTAACTGGGTATTTACTCCTAATATAGACGGTGAACTGGTCCCAAGACATTTTGACGGTCCGTTTATTGTCAACATTGGTACTCTTTACTCATTATTGTGAATGTCCTGAAAATATTGCATGCTATAATGATGGCATATGATGAAAGCAGCGGCATTGACCTCTCTGAGATTGCCGAAAGGAAAGCGTATAGACATCGTATGCAAACGTACGTGGTCAAGAACAAATACAAGCATACCTTATAATCTAGCAATCTCACAGAGATCTATTGCACAATGCTCCTTAATAATAGTAAAACAGTCCCCAGTTGTTACATTGGTTTTTTGCCTATTACGTCTTCTCCATGTGTCTTTGACGTTCTGTTGATGATGCTTACAAAAAGCATATTCGGGATACGCAATGGTCTTGTTAAGATGGAGGATCCATATTGTCCATTAGTATGGAATGGGTTGATGAGTTGTTTGAATTATGCAAGAATAAGAATTCTTATATTAGACAAATCCACCGAGTAATCTGATACCCTCGTTTTTGACGTTTATCATCGATGGGGTTATATAAGTGTGTTCCCTCGATGTGCTTCGATTAAAAATGGCTCATGGTATAATTAGACGACGGACTGGTGGCTGCACAATCGCACAAAAATACTACTTTTCAACAGCGCCTTGTGCAGTTGTAAGCGTATCATGCGTGTGTGTTTACATGCGTTCGCAAGGATGTATCAAATACTGGATCAATGTCTTTCACATCCTACGGTACAAATCTGTCTTTGTTGGATTATGAGTAGCCGAACGTCATCTTCCGCGGGGGAGGGGACTTGTTATTTCTAGAAACAAGACGTTCTTCCATACGATTCTATATTGTGACGAGACCGTAATTGGTTATGAAGTTCTGATACTCTTATCCTCGTCTCGCTGAAGAGTAGTTCATGTTTGCCCATGAAAATTATTCTGATGTGGAAGCAAACGATTAAGTTGTGTACTAATAGAATGAGGACATAGAAGATGGTATGGTCTTAAAATACAGTGAACCCTCTCCAAAAGCACAATATTTTTCCTCTCTAAATGCAAGCTCTCCCCTGTAAATGCAAACCTCCGTAAAATGCAAGTCATGACTGATTTGGCCATATGGTCCCAATGCATTGCATTTAGAGAAGGTTCACTGTACCTACTTAGTATTAGCTCTTTAACGCAAAGCATCTCCAAGACGTTACCATACTCGCATTATACAATACTTTGTGACTGAAACGACCGATACCTGTTTTCAGCATCCATAATTACGTTTTAAACAAGATCCAAAGGTGACCGTAAATCGACCTTATTCTTTGAACCAAGACCGAGTAAACAAACAGTAATGTTAGAAGTGAGTCTTTTGTAGGATTGCTATTGCTGACTGTCGGTGATAAAATGCAAGCAGGAGTCGAAAAATGGTATTCTAAAAATTTGACAAAAGTGGCGGGTAAAGATGATAAGAATGTGAACATAGTACAGATGGCGGAAAGAGCGAGTAGCAACCCAAATAAAGCCTTATCAGCGATTTTTACTCGAATGTATTCAAGCTCTACAACTGACTAACCCATATATGAGTATTGCGTGATTCCACGACGGCTCTCCATCACTACTCTTCACTTGCTCCGTTCGTATGTGAGCTGACCCTAAAGTGAGACGGGTTGCAGTACTATATACGTACGCATATCTTCTTCCAAAACTGGGCGGTTAACTTTTGTTGTTGCGCAGCATTCTATGGAAAGTTGTTTTAAGATTTGAACGAAGGCAAATGTGTTTACAGGGAATGAGATTCAAGAAGGCAATGTGTTTACATAGGAATGGAGATTCAAGAAGGCAATGTGTTTACATAGGGAATGGAGATTCAAGAAGGCAAATGTGTTTACATAGGGTCAAGATTCTATTGTTTGCGTCGACAGTCAAAAGTCCCTTCTGCAAACATATACATTTGAGTCACGCTGGTATTAAAATAGCGGGACTGTATAAATGTTACCAAAGCAAAAGAGCACCTGATATTAAAATAGTGGGACTGTATAAATGTTACCAAAGCAAAAGAGCACGCTGATATTAAAATAGCGGGGACTGTATAAATGTTACTAAAGCAAAAGAGCACCTGATATTAAAATACTAATCAATTCAACTAATGTAAAGCTATATAAATAATAACAAACAACAAAACATCATAATACAATATACAACAAATCTATTACAGACAACTAACGGTTGTTATTATACACTTGCTATTCCATATACAGTGGTTAGCTGTCTATAATAGATTTTATACACTTGCTACCATATAACCAGCAAACTTGGTTGTCATCTACGATGTAATAGATTTTATACACTTGCTATTGTATGTTATATACATAATATCTGACATAAAGGCAGTTAATCTTAAGCACGGACGGATGTTAATACATTATAACTAACAATAAAATAAAGTATCAGAGATTCTATTTAAACATTTATATTGCACTATATTAATATGTAATGTTTATTCGTTTTAAACTAGTTTGTGTATATTTAATCCAACCACACATATTTTTGTTATCTTTCGTTGATTTATTTATTGATGGATGGGATGAATTAATTGTATACTATCTATGCGTGAAGTGACACATCATATTTGTAATGTCGACCACTGTATAAATACTGTATGTTATATTGTATATTTTATTCTATGTTACTGTTACCTATTATGTGACATGATATACAAATACATTGTATTGTCATATATATAAATTACGCTGTCATAGACACGTCTATATATAAAGTCGATTCATCCCTCTACGAATGCAAGACACAGCAAACGTGCTTTCCATCAACTGTCTGATAAAAACATGTCCACTCCTGTTCCGATTAAACCGGCTACCACTTTGTTCATTGATCAATCTCATACATCTTCTAGCAACACACCTGCCACTCTACTCACTCTTTTTGAAATCAGTCTCTTGATCTACCCACCCTACATTCTTACTCTCTGCCTTGACGTTCTTCTCGATCCTACATACAATCAACGCAAAAGCCTTCCTCGTTCTCAAAATTCATGGATTCTTTTCCGTAAAGATTTCGAGGGTCGACTTCGGGCACAATTCCCTGATAAATCATTTACCATTCACGAGGTCTCGAAGATTGCCGGCAATCAATGGAAGGTTCAACCTGGCTTGGTCAAAGCGTACTTTGGCGTCCTTTCGAAATTGGCCCAAGAGCGACATAAGCGCGCGTATCCTGATTATGTTTACAAACCAAGAAGAACTAAACAGAGAAAAAGGAACGGGGAATACTTGTTCAAAAATATGAACAAAGATACGTTTACGAGCCGTCAAAATAACAGAGTGCATGCCTACGGAACTATCAGAGATACCAATACTATTCAGAACGTAGATGAATGCTACCGAGTAAATGAGAGTAATGGAAGCATGGATGACGTGAATACCGACGAACGTCTTGTGTGTGAGGCGCATAATGACCCTTGCCTTGAGAGCTCATCCCAGGAAGACAATAATGATATGTGTCATGATGCATCATCTATTCAAGTGCCTAGCTCAGATAACGTTTACAACGACACGACTGACATCGACAACTCGTCAATTTATCTCGTCGATCAAACGATGCCATACTCCACTTACGATCCTTTCACTTTTCCTACCCCCAATCTTTTCTCAAATACCAATATGATGGTATCCGCTCCATCGAACCGCACATATGACACGGACTTCTTTAATGTCAATGCGCAGCAGACTGACAATAACGGACAAACGTGGCCATACGATATCAACGGGTATAAAGAGAGCATATCCTGTTATTCGATAATGTATGATAACAATGGTATGTTTATCAATGAATAAGAAAATAGCTGTATCTGTAACCAAACTTCTATTGTAATTGTAAGCTAGTTGTATGTTATTATGTAATAAGATGTTGGAAGTGTTTTAATGTGTATATTTCGAATTTTGTACTCTTAAATATAGACCTAAGCCTAGTCCAATTTATACATTTTAGATATGATAAATTTCTATGCGTATTCTAAGTTGATAAGGGATATATTAATATTGTATTTGTTACTTGTTCTGATATTATTAAAAATAGATGTCAATAAAAATATTATTAGATTTTAAAAACCCACCCGAGTCTTTTTACTTGTTAAATGAGATACTCTTGACTATATTGCATGAGTTTGATAGCCATCGCTGCATATAGTACCGAAGATATATCTACAAATAGCTACCACCGTTGTCATGCAAATGCTGAAATTGTTTACTCTATGGGGCACAAAGATTCGAGTGCTCAGTGGCTCCTTGTTTTCTTTCTCCGATTTGTCTCATTAGCGCATATTTTTTTTTCTTAATCAAAGAAGAAGTTAAGCTCTTTACGAAGAACTGTTCATACAGATTGTGTTCAATTAGTGCTTTAAAATAAGTCGGGTGATGAATAATATATATATTTAGTATTTGGTCTTGACCAAAATGGGGGTAGGCTAAAGCGGAGCAGATTCTGTGCCACAGCTGCAGCAGATCGCCACAATCATCACAAGCGCCACCACACTTTTGGTATCATGTGATATCAGATCACAAAGTTTCATTATTTGTTTTTCGAAAACAAAGTTTCATTATTTGTTTTTCGAAAACAAAGTTACGCGTTCGGTTTTAGATTACGATGATACATCAGCTTTAAC